GATATTATCTATACCAAAGACTAAAACAGCAGGGATGTTCGCTATGTTATGTCGGTTACGGATTCGGATAAGATTTCGGATATGATTAGTTTCAGTTATGGATACTAGATTTTTTATTTTTTTTTTTAAGTAAAATACAAATAGGCAATAGAGTTTCTAGGGGTATTTCATTTGGTACTATTAACAAATGTACTTGAAAAGCCGGCAATCATGGAGCATAAATAAAATTCTTACTGAAAAGTATTCATAAATTTTTATTTAGAAAAAGCATGAATGTATACTTTATAGCACACCATACATAAGACAAATGATAAACAATAAATAGAAATTTTAATATATCACTTCGATCAACAATACCAATTATCAAGGGGTGGAGGGGTGCACAAATGGGTGCACTTGCACCGGACGCCCGGATTAAGGGGCGCCCAGGGTCAGGAAAATGTCATATATGCTAAGAGAAAAATAGATTTTTTATTAGTGCTGTTACACTTCTTACAAATGACATGGCTGGCACCAACTTAAAATAAAATTTGGTCTTTCCACTTTCTGTGTTTTGATTTTATTGAAGATAAAAATACGTAGTATTATTTTTTAGATTCTTTTTTTAAAGTTGTTTGTTATTTTTTTTTTAATAATAGAAGTTATCACCGATCTATATTAATCACTTGTAACATATAATAAATGGACACCGTCATCTGTGTTAAAACATACCTATATTTGTCGCATAAATATTTTTGTGATGGTAGCAGTTCTAACCTAACTCACTATTTCGGAAGCAATTCGTTTTTGTTGGGGTCACAGTTCTAACCTAACCCAACCTACTGTTCTGGTAACAGATCGTTTCTTAAGTCATTCAGTAAGTTTTCTCTTATGTTGTTCCTTAAGTTGCAAAATAGTTAATAAAAAAAACGGATCATTTCAAATACATATACATAATATACACCTACAAAAATGTTTAGAAGTGTATAAAGACTTACATATATGAATGTTGCACCACATTCCAACAAAATTACATACATACATGTCAAATTGATAACCTCATTTTCTTTAAAATGACCATACCAAATTGATGACTTCCTTTTTTGAAGTCGGTTAGTAACGTAAGCTGACGATCCCTGTTTTTAAATTAGTTAAAGAGGAGATCAATAATTTTAACTCCTTTTATGAGTCGGATAATTTTTACTCTTTTTAGTAGCATTATTTTATATCTTCAAAACTACAGAATTGATTTTGATGAAACTTGTAGTGTACCCTAAGTTAAAAGCTACGCTATTAAACAAAGAGTCATTGCAATGCACGTTTAGTTTGCGAGGTATACGTGGACAAACATACATACTTATATGGCCGGCTCCACACATTGGTCCCAACGCGTACACATGTTGGCTAATAAACTAGTTCTGTCCCGTCAGGACCAATGTGAAGATGTCCGATACAGAAATCGAAACTGCTCTGAGCGTTTTTACAGTATTGAGTGCACATTTATATTTATTTCTGAGAAAAAGAAATAACCAATGTGGTCAAAGAAGATGGTGGATGACGACACATCATAAAACATGGAATCAGTGTGTACAGATATAGTTATATTCTTCATTTTAAGTATTCTAATAACATCAACAACCAACTACAATTATATCAGCAGTTGTAATATTAAAGAATCTAGGTAATTATCTGTAATAATAAATTCAAGAGTCATCAGGAAAATTTGATAACTTTTACAGGGGGGCAATTCTACTACATAAATTTTGTTTAAATCGAATCGTAAACCTAACGAAACTATAGTTTTAATGGTCTTCCTATTTTACCAAGTGACATACGATACAATTCCAGTTCTATTTTAGCTGGAATTGTATCGTATGTCACTTAGTTGAATAGAAAAACCATTAAAATTAAAGTTTTTAATTCGATTTAAACAAAATTTATTTAGTAGAATTGGCCCCCTGGTATGATGTGTAGGTTGACATTTGGTCATGTGTTGTATTAATTCCATTTTTTTATGATAGTGGAGTTTTGGCTCACGATTTTTTTGAGTATCGGTATAATAGTCAATTTTAGATTTTTTGTGAATCGATAAATCGGGATTCGTTTTGGAGGTGATACGAGAATCAATAATTTTAGAAAAGAATCGCCACCCCTATTCATAAATAAAACCTTAGACACATTTACTCTTTGCCAGAGACTAAAAGCCTTATTACACTACCGAGTTTCAAGAACCGATAAATCGGGTAGGCTTGTTATACTACTGTAGAAATTAGACCTTAAAGTCCTAAAAATATAATTTTATCTCGGTGACAGATGTCTACAAAACCAACGAACACGATATTTTTTTACTAACTTTATACCAGCTTTTACCTAAATGTAGTAAATACTGTAATAGTGGTTTTTAAGTAACGATTTAAAATAGGTTTCAAAAAAGTGTTAAATACCCTATTGTAAACAAATGTAAAGTTTAATAATATTATCACAGATTGTTTTCAATCACCTAAAATCGTTAATTAACCCATTAACGCCCAAATAAAATCCTACAAAAATTTTAGTGAACCAGTTCTTAATATTGTTTTCAAATCATCTATTATTTGATATTACAAAGAAAAAATTAAAAAAAAATTATAAGATGTACTTTTAGAGGTGTACTAAGTTTAGTACAATGGGCGCTTATGGGGATACCGAAAAAAGTATATTCTATCGAAACACGACGTTATTTGTCACTTTTCCAACGCTCTTTTGATTCTGTTGAAACATAGGACACAGTCATTGGTATATTAGTATTTTTTGAGAATAATGAACATTGTTTTTCCTAACTTGTTCTTGAATGATGGATGGTTGTATTGCCTTATGTTACTCAAATATGTGCGTGTTTTATGTCTCGCAATACCAGCTGATCTGTATAATATTCAGGATTGACATTACATGTAATATCCCATGAACTAGAAATTTTCATATCATATAACAATTCGACACAAGTTTTTGTAAGATCTCAATAAAGTGGAACACTTCTTGTACGTCTTATCCGTAGGGGAACTAGCCAATGTGTTAAATGTAAAACGCAGACTACTTTTTGTTTTCAAATTTCTGTTTCTGGTCATGCATTCTGAAACCAGTGGCACACCAATATTATTATCGAAATTTCAATATGACCTTTATCTAGATAATTTATGATATCCGGTAATATACGATGGACTTGGAATTTTCAAATATTATTTTTGTATAAACCTTATCATGACAGCAGTTTTGTACATCGTATACAGTATTTTTTTGAGTCGCAATAAGTTCTAGCACTACATCATCGAAAAGTTCTAAAACTTTGCAAGTGTCAAACGTTTTATTATATCTGAGACTTATGTTTCTGTAACAGATATTAGATCTGCGTTAACCAAGAAACTTAGTAAATAGTCATACATTTTGGCAAAAATCCTCCTCAGCTTTAGTTCCACTTCGTCTTGTTTTGGCCACATTGTAAGATTACATCTACATCTCAGAATGCTGTAAATAAGAAAACTGGAAAACTGATTATGATGACCACTCACACCATTACATTCTGAAAAGTAGATGTACTGTGAATTACAACATCTATGCATATCACCAGTCACATTTTTCATCTGTAACAACATCTGGATTGGGTAGCAGCATAATCATTACTATCATTATCATTACTATCTCAACTGATGGTGTTATTCATAGTAAAACTACTTTGTTTTTCGTAAAAGTACGTCGAATAGCCATTTTATAATTTCTAGATACCTAGTTTCCTCTTATCGTCTGATAACGATGCCACTTAAAGGTTCGTTATTGAGATATTATGAGTAATATAACGACAAAAAAACTTGAAAACACATTATAAACTGTTGCACTGTACTGTCTCACGTTACATGTCAAGTGCCCATTGTACTAAACTTAGTACAGCAGCACTTAACATGTTATAGCTTGTAACACTTTTTAAAAAATTTTGTTTTTCTACGTGTTTTACAAACAAATAGTATATTATTGAGTTAAAACTAAATCTTTTTAATAAATTTCAATGGTCATTTTTTTACAAAATGAGAAATAAATACTCACCGACATATATCAAAAAATCACTGGCACAAAATGCTCACTACTGTCAGATTATTTAGTGATTGAATCATGATTTTGTTATATACTTACTACGAGACTTTCGATTGAAAGGTTGAAGGGGTTAGCAAAATGAAAAAAGTAATTTAATAACTTTAATCTCAACTTAAATTACTGTACTTCTTATAGTACGGCGGGTGTTAATGGGTTAAAATAAAAAGAGTATCATCGACGAAAATTCTGATTACATCGTTAGTGTTATAGTACTAGCGTTCTAATATACTTTTACTCTTTGCTTCTAAGTTACTTCATTCGTTTAGAGCAGGGGTTCCCAAACTTATTTTGTCGATTGGCCACCTTGACAACAAATTATTTTTTAGCACCCCCGTTTTTCATTTACTTAAAAACCACTATTACAGTATTAGTACATTTTGGGAAAAGCTGGCATAAATAAGTAAAAAAAATATTGTGATCATGTTCATTTTTACGACTAGACATCTGTCACCGAGATAAATTATATTTTTAGGACTTTAGGGTCCAATTTCTATAGAAATATAACAAGCCTATCCGATTTATCGGCTCTTAAAACTGGGTAGTGTAATAAGGCTTTTAGTCTATGGCTAAGAGTAAATGTGTCTTTGGTTTTATTTATGAATAGAGGTGCTGATTCTTTTCTAAAATTATTGATTCTTATATCGCTTAAAAACAAATCCCGATTTATCGATTCACAAAAATATCTAAAATAGACTATTATACCGATACTCAAAAAAATTGTGAGAAAAACCTCCACTATCATAAAAAAATTGAATTAATACAACATATGATCAAATGTTACCCTACACACTATACCAGTCATCAAACTTAGAGAATTTAATGCTAACAAAATATAAATTGTAATACAAACATTTTTTTTTTATTCGATACATCGAGCTGAGACTGCATCCCTATTTGTGACGTATCTCTTTTTAGCAGCAGGCCAACGGGCCAACTCATCGGTCTTTTGACGTAAAATGTTTATTTTCAGTTCAATAATGTTAAAATATTATTAATTAATTGCTTGTTAAGTGATAAAATACTTATAAAATGGAAACTTACACTTTGCTGTTGGTACTTAGTGTTTTTTGGCACTACACCGATGCCATTATGTGGAGCTTAGCTCCCAACACCCAGAAGTGTCTAAAAGAAGAATTACATGCTCATGTGCTCGTGGCTGGTGAATACGAAGTTACAGAAGTTCCAGGACAAAGAGTAGATTATATTGTAAGTCAAAATTCTGATTTTAATGTGGTTCTACCCTTATATCGTTCGTAGTTTATATTTATGAAATACCACTGTTAACTTAAACCGCAAACGATATGCCGGCTGCTCCTCTTGTAAATAAGAAATTGGTTATTTTTTAAATTACCTTGACTTAATATGTTGAATATAATTACGATGTGTTTATTTCCAATGAGAAAATTGGACCTATCATGTACTCAACTTTTTTTTCTGTTTTCCAGGTCCGTGACTCAAAAGACAATATTTTATCACAAAAGGACACTATAACCAAAGGAAAATTCACTTTTGTCACAGATATTTATGATACCTTTGAAATTTGTTTTATATCTAAAGTACCACCAGGTAATTTTATTAGTGTAATTGTGATCTTCTGGTTAACCAGTTACATAATATAGCAGTCTTATTGCAATTCATCATTAGACTATTGAAAAGTCAAAGTCAAAATAATCTTTTTTCAAAGAGTCTTCTTAAAAGTAATTTTGTATCATCCTAATTTTTTTCCGTACCATTCATTCAGTATTTCTTTTGACTGTTGAACAAGCAAAAAACTCACCAGCTCTAATGGGAGTAACAACATTCACAAAACCATATCATTACCAGATCAGTATTATATAAATAGAGAAAGTAAAACTATGATCTTCTAATGATAACATAATAATTTAATAATGGCAACTTGACAATTTTGAGATTTAATGAGTTTATAAGAAATCACCTATTCAATTGCTGATAAATCTTAAGTCTAAGCATTCTTATCTTAGACTTAATCAGACAAATCAGACTTGGGCTGGCCGCTTGGTTTTTTAAAAATATATTTAAACTTTATGATATCTAATTCTTATATTTGATTTGGAACCTTATTTTAAAAGCTCATACACCCCTGAATGAATTATTAAATTTTTGCCATTTTATGATAGGCACAGTTAATTAATTTTCATTGCTAGTATTAAAATTATGTACATCACTTTTTATCAAAAACAAACTAATACTTTTACTAACATACATTAAGTTGTTGTATATATATTGAGACCGTATTGAGACCAGAGTAGCTCGGTGGTGTAGTGGATAAGCGCCGCGGCCCGCGATCGTAGTCGTTAAGCAACTTTCGCAAGGGTCGGTCATGGGATGGGTGACCAAAAAATTATTATCTTGAACTACATGCTTCGGAAGGCATATTAAGCCGTAGGTCCCAGCTGCATTTTCAGTTGTTAATTCCCTCCAATCTGCATTGGGCCAGTGTGGAGGGCAATGGCCCATCCTCCTTAACCATCCATAAGGAAGGCCTGAGCCCCTGCAGTGGGGACGTAAAAGGGCTGGTGATAATGATGATATATATTGAGAAGCAACAGTTGTCCTGTCAATTTCTTTTAATATTTCTCTTGGGAAGTGTTGGCATTCTACTTGGTGTTAAAATCTTTCTAGTTTGTTACTATATTTATAGTAAATAAATAATGTCAAAGAAGCAGATCTTTGTCATTATTTACACTCTTGAAAAAGACTGTTAATCATAACATTAACTATATACTCTATTTGACTATACTATATAAAACAATGATTTTCCTAACAATAGAATGATTTATTTAAAATAGTTGAGATACTATTTACTAACATAATGAAAGCTACAAGTTATAGTATTAGGTTTATAATTGTGGAATTGTGAATTCTTATAATTTTTTTATACTCTGGTGTTGTGTATAAGACTCACATATTTATTTTTGCTAAGAAATATTTACAATAGGCTGATAATTATGACAATTGAAAAATGTTTCAGAACGCCGTGGAATCAGTCATGATGTGACTCTGGACATTAAAGTTGGAATTGAAGCTAAGAATTATGAAGGGGTAAGTACTTTAGCATTTGGTGAATTGGCAAAATTTTCAACAATTCAAAGTCTATCTGCAATCTTATAATCTTATTCAAGAAACCCATTTATTTTAATTGAAATAGATAAATAATATTTGTACAGTTATATGCATTTCTTCTATAATTCTAATTACATATATTTTCTTGATTATCGGTGGGATCATCTTCATTCAACTTCAATCTTCTAGAACACTTGGGTAACAGTTATTATGAAATTTGTAACAGTGCTAATTTATAAATGAATATAACAGTTTTATACTTTTTGGTATGATTTTACTAATGGAAATTAGTGTGCTCTTTAATTTATTAATATTGTCTCATTAATCTTATATTTTAATATATTTATACCTCGTGTGTTCATAACTTTTGAGACAATCTTTTTACTGTAAAATAAAATGTTACTGGCTGTTATTTTTTTTTACCGATTTTTAATTTGGAATGTTAACTTTTAGTTTATTTTTATTGCAAATTCATTTGTTTATATTTTCTCGTGATGGAGGAAACGAAACAATTACGTGCAACTGTCACTTCGCTATTTAAGGCGGGAAAAAAACCCATATAAATTTTCCGCGAGCTGAAAAGTTTTCCTGTAAGCTGTAACTTCGTCTATTACACAATACAGTGGTACAAAGAGACAAGTTCTCTGCAAGATCGCTAAGGGAGTGGTAGGCCACGCTGTCTGAGGACGCCTGCGAACATCATAATCATTCGAGAGCGACTTCGCCGAAATCCATTTCGCACTCAGAAGAAACTCGCTCTGCAGACGAATATTTAGCGTGTTTTAATGAACAGAATACTGAAATATGATTTTAGGCAATATAGCCATAGAAAAGTTCACTTTTTAAACGATCGTCTTCGTAAGTTACGATGCGAACGTTTTCCATTGCTGCTGAGGAGACATGATACCAGGAAGATACTCTTCATCAACGAGAAAATTTATACTGTCGAAGAAAAGTTCAACCGACAAAAAAATAAAGTGTAAGCTGAAAGTAGCAAGGATGTCTCAGCTTCTGCACGTAACGTCTCGCGCATTCATCATCAGGGTAGTGTGATGGTATGGTAGAGAGTGTCGTATGAAGGTGTCACTCTGCTCCATTTCTGCCAACAAGGTGTCAAGGTGAAAGCCAAGAATTATCAGAATGACATTGTAGAGCCCGTGGTAAAACCCCTGTCTGATACGTTATTTCAAAATAAGGATTGAGTTTTTCAGCAAGACTCGGCGCCATCCCTTAAGGCAAAAAGCACTCAAGCTTGGTTGAGGGAAACACTCAAGCTTGGTTGAGGGAAAATGTGCCGGCCTTTATCGCGGCGGAGGAGTGGCCCTGGTCCACTCTTAACCTGCTGGATTATTCTTTATGGATTGAATTAGAGCTCAGGGCCTGCTGAAGTCCCACTCAAACTTGGAGTTACTGCAGTGAACCCTTGTTGTAGAAGCAAAGCGAATTCCGCTTAGAAAGATTCGTGCGCCATTGATCGACTGGCCAAATCGTATAAGGGTCTGTATTAAAAACAAGGGCGGTCATTTTAAATAAAATATATATTGTTGATTATTATCTATTTAATGGTTACTGAAAATTTTATAAATAAAAGTTAATTTCAAACTTAAGTTAACTTAAGTTAGTCTCAAACTTAAGAACACGTGAGGTATATAACATAGACAATGATAACAAATAATTTTCATATTCATACTTAATATTTTTCTTTAATTGTGTTTATTTTCTTTAGTTAAGGGTGTTAAAAAAGATTACAGTGTTTGTATGCATGGACATGTAGTTCTGATTATTCCATGTTAACAGAATTATTAGATATTTACAATTTAGAAATATGTGTGCAAAATTTCTTTAATACTAATTTTAGGTAGATTTACCACAAAGTAGTAATATACAAAACAATAAGATGCTAAAAAAACGATTATAATGTAATAAGTACGAATTCCTATCTATCCCATAGATAGCAGAGGCTGCAAAGTTGAAACCGATGGAGCTTGAGTTAAAGAGATTGGAAGATTTATCAGAAGCTATTGTTCAGGATTTCACCTTGATGAGGAAGAGAGAAGAAGAAATGAGAGACACAAATGGTAACTATAAAACACTATATTAACGATAAAAATAAACTGTCTCTGACAAATGAAGATATTTTTTGAACATGTAAAATTTTAACAATACTCATGTTATAAAGGGGTAAACTTAGCTTGTTTGCAGAGTATAATCTGTTGAAAGATTAATCTGATTGTGAGCATTCGTTCACCTATGGGAAGCTACATCATATGTGGGTGACATATTTATGTGGTTGAATTTGCGGAAAGTAACTAGTATAAAATAAATATACTTATTATTTTATTTAAATATTTTGTCCATACCCTGTAATTATGTTTAGATAAAGTATAATTGATCAAAGTTTCTTTTGTAATTCAATTTCAGAGTCCACCAACAACCGTGTCCTATTCTTCAGCATATTCTCAATGGTCTGTCTTCTTGGGCTGGCCACTTGGCAAGTACTATATCTTCGCCGGTACTTCAAGGCCAAGAAACTTATCGAATAGGACCATAAGTAGGTAGAACCGCGGGTAAAGTGACATGTGTCTCATGAATATGAATAAAATAAAGAACCATTAAATAAAATAAAAGTAATGAAATCTTGTAAAATTAGATTTTTCAACTTAGATTGGAATGAAAGAATTACAGTGGATTGCAGTGGATTGGGGGTGGGTATGAATAGTACTTAGACTGGGCATATTATTTCCTATTTGTTTTGTTGTGCCTGTTTTAATCTGTACTAGGAGATGTAACTCATTATTTCTTCATACATCACAGTTACTGCACATGTAACTCTATCCGCGTGAATTAAGATCTTCAATTTACTTTATATTTTAATATAAATTTTTGAATAAAAAACTATTTCTTGTTTAATTTTGTTGTGAGTTGATATCTGTTTTAGAGTGTAAATATTTTTTTAAACTATTCAACTAGTTTTATGACATACAACCACATTTGTTTCAAAATAAAATTGATATTGCGAGTTATTTTAATCACCACTATCCTGTTTTATGTAGAATCGATAGTATGTCAGGCAGGCAGCGCCACCGCATTAATCCTTGATCCATCCGATTAAGAAATAAGTAATGTGGCGCTGCTGCGCTGATGTTCGGTAGCGAGCGTCACGCTATACCTACCTATAGCACCTTAAAAGCCTATTATTTTAAAATATTAAGTAATTTTAGCAGTTTATAAAACATTAAAATTCTTCATCCCGCGAGTATTCACCACTCTAAGGTACCATGAACTGGAGGAGTTACGCAAGTGAAGAACAACCACAAAGTATTTTACCTCTGACTGTTCGAACAGTTTGTTTTGTTATGATCAGCGGTATACGACTACGTTATCCTTTGGTCATCGTTATTATATTTTTAGAACGTGATTTATTTATTTCTAATATTAAATTTTTGTACATTGATTTTTATAAAAAACAAACTAGTATTTTTACGAACGTACATACATTAAAACGTATATGTATTGAGAAGCAACAGTCGTGTCTATTTAATTAAATTTTTCCCTTAAAGTGTCACTAATCTTAAGATTATAAATTGATTTAATAGCTCTTTTCTGAAGCACATAAATCGTAATCCAAAAGGAGGAGGTTATATGTTTGATGGCAATGTATTTTTTAATGTATGTTCACCTATATTTACGCTAGTTGTTGATAGATTTTCAAAATTCTTTTATTCGACAGCTTAATGGGGCGAGGTAGACCCATTAATTTTAACTTTCGATCCAGGGGATCTTTTGCCATAGATATCAACGCTCATGAAAAACACAGTTAAATTACTTAGGTCACAGAAAACACCTTACACGTCATGTGAATCCTCCCAAGCATCAAAGATTGTAGCTATTGTCTCAATTACAGATTTGGAAACGTCAATGGAATTACTCCATAAATCAGCGGTTTACTTTTTCTTTAGTTGATTAAAAGCTTTTATTATATCTTTAAAATCTATGTATTGAAACTTGAATTGGGTACTAAAATTATTTAAGAGGTACTACCATATAGGCAAGAAAAATGGTTTTAACATATCGCGGCAACAAGCCAAAGCAGGGTCTTTACCTCTTTAATTGTTAATATTATATTTATAATGTATAGTTAACAGCTGATACAGACTTTTGATATTGAGGTCAATAAATGTTTTAAACTGTAGGGGCCATCCATAAATTGCATTACATAAATTTAAGTTGATACCATATCTATTGGAAATATAGATCACAGATTAGTATTGTACATAGGGTTCACTAGATTTGCTGAAGAGATCACTCGTGTGGAATGCTGCCTAGAAATATTATTATTTCTCTATACTTGACAAAAAGGAGAAGAAGAATGAAGAAGAAAAATCGAGAGTATTAGGTACATTCCATCTACAGTAACAGATTTTTGCATGGGAAGTGTTACACGATTCTAAATATTAAACCAGTTTCAATGAACTTTTCAAATTAATTGGCCCCTCAATAGTGAAGGACACATTCTAAAGACGATACAGTACAGATTTTTCCCATAGCTTTTTCTTTAATTTACATCCGAATACTCTGTTTAATACGTAGCCACAGTATAAGAATGACACAGTATAGAAACTAAGCCTATTTGATAAAATAAATACCTACGCTCCATTGAAACCATAGGGTTGTCGTTTTGAATGTTTCTTTTACAAAATATAAAAGGAGTTCTGACATTATCAATCAATCGAATTGTAATAACTAATTAACAAACAAACAATATACATACATACACATTTGTTCAGACGGTGATATCTACTTATATTATTCTATTATCACCACATGATATAGAAATAACATATGTGAAAACTGGGCGGTTAAAATATATTTCCAGACTAAAATATATTTCCAGATCATACAAAAATCTTATTTTTTATTTCATATAAGCCTACTCCTTTCCTTAATCTTTCTCGACGCGCTACGCGTTACTGAGCGTCCTGTTAGGTCCACTTAGGCGGCTCGTCGGTGAGCGTGTTTATGTGTGCGTGCGATTTTGAACGCTTGTAGGCAGTTTCACCACTGTATACTTATATTTACACTGTGACGTAGCCGACATTTTACCATGTTTCTCTGTCAATAAGAGATGCGGAGATATTATAAAATAAAATAAAAATTATTACTTTATATTAAACATTTTCTTCATTTATTTTTCTTCCAAATTATTGACAATAGAACAACCATTAAAATCATCACTTGTAATTTCAGCTACACATACATCATATTATTTTGTTGGCAATTTTTAAATAAACTTACTTTTACATACATGAATGTAATAAATTATTTTGTGATCTTTGTCTTACGTTGATTTTATTACAAAACTCGCATATCACTGAATTTAGTCTTTATGGAAGTATTTATAGTAGTTACTATCTCTACAGAATTCAATATGTTAATTGAATTATTATCTATAAATTCTCATATAAATTTACACGATCTATCTTATGCCACTAAAAAACGTGACAATTATAATGAAGGACATATGATAATGTGGAATGTACCTTTTTGAAAAATCATACACGCATCTTAAAAATAACTTTAAAGAATTGAACTATTAAAACAAAAGATACTACGCGATAAAATTACATATAAAATAGAAATCATAAAAAAGGAATATTTACTTATATATAATCTATAAATTTTTATTTACTAGCAATTGCAGCAATTTATATTTTCAAATTTTTTATAAAAAAAAAACAAACTCAATTGTGCTGATCAAAATGTGAATGTAATACTGCATTGAACAGTTGATTATCCTCATGATAAATAATAAGGCTTTCGTGATAAGAGTTAAATAGTAAAGTTATGTTTAATTGCACCATAGACATTTTAATTAATGCATTATTTCACATTTTTTATATATACAATAAAAACTTGTCCACTATGTGGAGTATCTGTACAATTATGATACCAAATTAAGATCAAAGTGGTGAATAGTCCAGTTGGACCGTTAAATGTTTCACGCCCGCCTCGCGGAATATACGCGCGGCCTGATCTGTAACATATCTAGGATCTACTTCTCTGGCTACTTCCAGTTTTAAAGCACCGACATGCACGTCACTACACAAAGTCCAGAAATGCGGCTCTTGTACCGCGTGGACACCAGCAAGGCCTACAACGCGAGTGTACAAATTAGGCAGAGCACGCTCTAAAGATGTTGGAGTCCGTTGCATAAGTACGCCGGCAGAGTCACGCACTAAAGGCAAGACACTCGCGGCGATTAATAAAGCTATTGCCATAGAACAGATGGGGTCAGCGCGCATCCAGCCGAATGTGCGCATAAGTATGGCTGATACGATTACACCAACAGAGCCGAGAGTGTCTGCAAGCACGTGGAGGAAGACTCCTCGCATTATCGCTGAACCCGCTCCCGTAGGCGCATCGATGTCGTCGTGGTCGTGGGAATGGTTGTGGTTATGAGAATGACCATGCCCGCCGTGGGAGTGGCCGTGTCCGTGTCCATGCGCATGCCCATGATGGAATGCATAAATGCCGACTAAGTTAACTAGGAATCCTAGTATGGACACCAACAATAGACGTTCATGTTTCACCTGAAAATAGAAAAATAAGTTTTCTACGTTTATTTGAATTTCATTTGTAAAAAAAATATAACGTGAAATAAATACATAATATTGTATTGCAGTGTTGTAAAGTCAAAATTAGGAACTGTCAATCATTATCAAATATTTTATTAAAACACCATAAAGAAACCTCTAAGTTACACAGTCTATCAATGCCTATCGATGTTGCAACTTGACGCCTATCAATATAACAAAAGGTACGAGATGAATTAGAAAATACGTGTTTATTCAGCAAACGTTTGAGCAATGTAATTTCGACATTATCACGGATACTGAGTGTCGTAAACTGTTCAGCATTGAAAGTTATTCTTGTACAAATGTATCAATAATCAGTCTCTAAAATTATGATAAGGAATAAAAATATTATGAATTGTGGACCATTTTTTCTATTCAATTATATATGAATAGTTAACTTTTGTTGCCAACTTAAAAAAATAATTGTATATTTTGACAAATATTTATGTTATGGGTTTATTTATATTTTTGTTTGTAATAATAAAATTCAAAAATTATTGGCCTGTATTGATAAAATTTCCTCATATAATACCGTTATCACTAAGTAATAAAATAAATATTTCTAAATTACCTTCGAAATAGCCAAATCATTAAATAGGTTAACAGTACGTAATATGTTAATTGTTAGAGATGCGCCTATATAAAATAGTGGTTTACCAAATAACCAAATATTTAACTATATGGTTTAACCTAGACCAAACAGGATACTCAGCTGAATTATTTGGTTTAAATTTCATTGTTTAGCTGCATAAACAGGTCTAAAAAAATTGTTGATTTGAAGTTTAATTGCTTTATTTTATAAGCTTTATTGAACACATTTTTGGTTTCATCAAAAATAACACTAGGAAATATGTCGGGGGTTTTCACAATCCCCATAACTACCTAGTCTGGCCATAAGTTCTATTACAAAAAACAATTTTATTTTAAAGTTTTATATGTGATGTAGAGTGAAAAATGTATATTAACGTACTAAACTAGTTATTCAATGTGTCCCCCCTTAGCTTTAACGCACGCTTTTAAACGGCCATTCGTCGATGGATTTATGAACGGTTTCTTGGAAACTTGGTCACTGCTGCCTCCAAAGATTTCTCGAGCGACTCAATATTTGGGTGACGCTTAGAGCAGCCCATGTCCTCTAGCACAGACCATAATTTATAGTCCAAGGGGTTTAAGTCCAGACTAGCCGATGGCCAATCATCAGCTTTTATGAAGTCTGGAACATTTTGCTCAAGCCAAATTTGGGTAAAGCGCGCCTTATGAATAAGGTGTTGTTGAGAGGTTTAACTATAGCTTCTAATACGGTATCTTGATACACTTAGGCTGAAGTTTTCACTCCTTTTTCGCAAAAATGAAGTTTTGTAACCCCTTGGTAGGAAACACTCCACCATACCATGGCTTATGCTGGATAATGGCCTTGCTAAACTTTTTTTTTAAACTTTAAACTAAAGTATGTCCTGTGTATCTCCAGTAAGCCCCTAAGCCTAAGTTATATTATTATTTGATAATCTGAGAAAGTTGAGGACACTCTCATTTCTATGGAAAGGATTTTCTGCTACCTTATGGGATTTCGACAAATTCTGGCCTTGAGTGCATTAACAGCCTGGTTTGTTTCTCACGGTCATCTACAGACTTGGTTTCAGTGAACCTTTGGATGGAACAATACACAAACATTTGGCTAATCCCTACTTAATCTACTTTGTACAGTGCAATTTCTGCAATCCTAATCTCATTAGTGCCCCACTCCATTTTCAAACAAATAATTTCTAAACAAAAATCATACAATAATGGCAGGACAGAAGTCTTATTTTTTATCATATAAGCTAATGATCAAAATTCAAATCAATGTTTTTTTTTGAATATATGTAAACAGCCAGTATTTATGGCTAGACTGGGTATTTTACTCATTGAATTCATTGATTTGGATAAATTACTTCAATGTTATTTATTCTTTACACAACATAATTTTTAATTTTTATAATTAGACTTTTGTACACTGTAGCACAATCAGCAGGTTGAGCTAAACTTACTGAAACACTGGTTGACTATTATCAATCAAAGTTTGTTCACTCAGTCGACTTTAAGGGACTTACATGGGATGATAAGCAGTTATGTTGATAATATATATGACTACATTGATTATTATATCATTGTGGCCATAATGAGGAGGTGGACAGGGTAGGTCAACTGCTTTCCCTTGATTTTGTGTACCTATCTATATATCTACTCCTGATGCCTAGAACTAATTTGCCTCTCACTAGCCCAGAACCTGAGATTACCCCGACCTTACCTGAGTGTTCATTAAGATTGAAACATGATTAACATGATTATTATTGTAACACATCAGTAATTAATGCAAACCTGAAGGCCGTGTTAAATTGTTTTCTATAAGATACAAGAATTTTTAAAGTCAAACAGTACATCAGGTGTTGCCGTATGTGCAAGAGAAATAAATAAAAGAGCTAATGAAACAACTTTCTCTCACCATCAAGTCACGATTGTTGTTGGGCACAGGCCTTCCCAATAGATTGAATGGGTGGAACTATTTATATATATTTCCAAAACTTACCTCTGGTGGTTCAATAGCCCTTTCAACTGCTTCACTCATAATAAAGAATGCTATAAACAATAAGAACAGGCCATTTACAAATCCTGCAATGACTTCAGCCCTTGCATAGCCATAGGAAAAGCGTTCATTGGCACGCCACTTTGACACAAGTGAAGCTGCTAGACCTGCCACTAGGCCAGTGCAGTCAAAGAACATGTGAAATGCATCTGATATGAGACCTGAAAAATAATTGTGGTTTTAAAGATGTTTAAATCAAATATCATTAATTTATTAAAAAGCAACTGAATTCATTGTTTAGCTAATAATGAATGAACTTGTTTTTGTTAAAATCTTAAAATTTTCTAATCAAAATTAATTAGAGGTATTTTGTAAACTTACCCAAACTATTTGTCCAGACACCATAGAATAGTTCAACAAATGCAAATGATAAGTTTAAAATAAGAAACAGAAAAAGATTTCTAGAATTCTTATCAGAATAAATTAATCTCAGCCAGTTTTGCAATTTTTCTTTGATTCCTGCCAGAGGGCCCCGCGGTGGCCGCGTATCTTTCTGAATGAGCGGCAGCATTGTATTTCTTATGTTAAATTGTGACACTATCACGTCATTTCAAAAAAATTTAAGAAATTATCAGATTTAACTCATAGGATTACTGCATACGTGTACTGTTATAGCAGGCGGTTCCTAACCTCTTACTTGTTGTAATCTTCAAACTGCGTAATATAAAGGGTTTAATTTTCAGGAAATATGCTTTCTTTCAAAAAACTTATCCATTTTTCATTTATGTACAGGTTGAAGAAATATTTATTTGTTCAACTTTACTTCACAAAGCTAACCCGAGCTTGTCAAAAAATGAACTGACAAATTAACAATTTGGTCTAACATTTGACAGACATAATAATAGTTTATTTGAGACAAAGGGATCTTAACCTATACAGCCTAAAATACCAAATAAAAACTATTTGACGGGAACACTTATTGAGTTGCGTTGTGTAAGATCACACATATTTTTATGTTTTTGTTGGTTTCGATTGTTATAATGCATTAAGCTTTCTTGTTACTTGTTTTGGACCGCTATTATGATTTTCAAAACAAGTAAACATTATTTCACTAATAAAAATATATCTATATCTTATAATATCTGTCATTTTATCTATATATATAATATCTATATCTAATAATATCTGTCATTTCATTATTACTTTCCGTTAAGTTTAAAAAAATAACCCTTTCGCTCGTTATCACGTTATTACAAAATAAATGCATTTTTTTTATTTCTTCTATATTTAAACACAAATTGATAATTTATAAAAATTGATGCAATACATTTTCAAACTAAAAGGTATTAAATTATTATAACTAGGGTCACAAACCGGAATACCGGATACCGAAAATTCCGGGATACCGGCCCAAATACAGGTCTTAAAAATACCAGTTTTAATTAAAAAAAAACCGATATTTTCTATATTTTCGGTTTTTAATAAAATAAAACACTAATATAAAAAAACCACTTAATTCAGGCCACTGATCGAGAGAGAGAGAGAGAGAGATCTGAAGGTTTTATTCACCGGGGACGACGTAATCTACGCGCGACGAGTATCTCTACCCCCGAAATAACAAAGTTTTGTTGTGTATGAAGTTGATGTAAATCCTACCTATTCTATTTTTTATTGTCCTATTCTTGTAATATTGTTAATCTTGCTATCTACTCATATATAGGGTAAGTTTGACCATGACCTCAAATACGGTTTATTCCAAAAAACTATTAAGCAAAGTGCAGAGACAAAGACATGTAGGTACCTAAACCTTATGCATTTGAATAGGTAAGTATATGTATAGGTGTTGTAGTTTGTACTTTGTGTATAACTATAATAATTACGTACATAACTTGAAATTAAATAAATTATCTAGTCGATTAAAAACGGTTTTATTTAGAAAATAATAATTTGCCATTCTTGTACCTAACTTTACATTACATCTAAAAAGATGCAATTATAATTAGTGATTCTATTCAAATCCCAAAAATACCGGAATACCGGATTTATCTAGAGTAAGAACCGAAAATACCGGTTTCGCAAAGATGATACGGTATTGCGACCCCTAATTATAACAAAATTTAGGAGATTGTTCATAAATATTTCAATAATTAATAAAAAATTTTGCTATCTATATTTCTATTTTCATATGGCGTTACTCGGGTATTATTTAGACAAAGTTCCAGGGGATTAGAAATTTACGGGACTTATAACACCTTCTATTTTGTCAACAAGGAGGTTATATGTTTTAAGCTTCATGTTTGTCACAATAGATTTATTAAATCATTCTTAAAAACTAACTTCCACAAGACATGCCAAGACGAATAGTATTGTAATAATTCGTTTCCTATACTTTTACCAACCATTAAATTGCACCTATTAACGATGACGACGCACAGAAACATCTCAAACTCAGAACAAATATGTGGCGTCCTAGTGCACAACAAGCTTAGGGTTAGTGCATGCACCGACCAACTTACTTTATCCTATTTTCACAACAATTTACACGTCAGTTATCAATAGTTGACAATTAATTGCCTTAAGATTCTCTCACTACGGGATGTTGGCAAAATTTCCGTGTATAACGGAACAAGTCCATATTTAAAAAAAAAAGCAGAAACCGTGTATGTCTGTGCACTATTATATCTTATTGTCTCACCCAGATGGCTAATTTATTAAAAATTTGCCGAGTTCGAAAATCGCTCAGGAGTATGTTTAACGCTATGAGGCAGGTTTTGAAGTTTTTAATAAAATAAAAGTATTACAAGTATTGAGTACTCCTTCGTCATCTCTAGATATCTATGATGTTTATCATTATTGTCATAGATTTTCTCTTGGCTTCTGCTATTTTCGTATATGTATTTTTTTAAGCTGAATTAAAGGCTTTTAATTCTTGGGGCTTGTTTTAATTTCATAACAAGTATCAAGACGTATTTAATGTTACCTTCTACAAATTAAATTTTTTCGATTTGCCATCAGATTCTGGTACACCTTATAATACTTTTTGAGCTTCAGAGTTGTAAGCTTAAGTTTTACATTAACGCTTTCTCTTTAGAAGAATTTATATGGAGATTTGTATGTAGTTATGTGGATATTTAGTATATCAACTTTAATTTTGCGCTGAATGTTGAAATATTAGAAAAAAACCACCATTTCTTTCGAACTGACATCAAAGAAGAAGAAAATGTCAGAAATTTATTTTTCTATAATCCTCTTTAAAAAGTTTTATACTAATTCATAACATCCTCTGAGCGGCAAAAAAACCTTAAATACAAAATAAATCACCAAATGAATCTCAGAATAATATAACAAAGCAATGAATAACATCTCTATGACTACAATACCTTCTTTTGAAATTCGAGTTACAAAGGGCGTTGCTAACGTCATTTAACTAGAAAAATAATATATAATATTTATTAAGGTAACATACAGACTTTAAAATATAACAATTTAATTAAATACATAACTCTGCAAGTACCTACATTTCATCAATATAAGTTTTATAACTTAATACTTCCTTGACAGACAAACTTAAAACACAACCTTTATTCTTATTGAAAATAAATTAAAAGAAAACAACTTCATTTTACAATTAATAAATAGTGATAATCTTACTTATGGAATAAAATAAAACAATAACTTAAACGTATACATCGAACCTACTTGGGAGTCTTACCTTCCTGCCGAGACGCGTAGTCTTCGTTGAATGGACTGTCACCCCACGTCTAGTAGAGTCTGCTGTGTGATCTGATTCTTTTTCGCCTGCAGGGTCGTCTGAATTTAATAAGGTTCGATCCTCACCTGATATTTCCAACTTATAAAGTCTCTGAATGGCTCTTACTTTCACCCCAGATGCTGTTTTGATTCTCGCCGTCCTCACAACCCCATCAATACCTGGAAGTAAATCTTCCACTATTGCTAGAGGCCATTTAATCCGTTTTCCATCTGCTTCGACTAAAACGATATCTCCCTTTTCAATCCTATCTTTTTTCTCATTACCTTTCTGCACCAGAAAAGCAAGATAGTCCGCCTTAAACCTCTGACGAAATTGATCACGCAGTTCCTGCAAATATTTCAAGCGCTTATTTAGGTTCGTTCTATCGATCTCATCAAGATCCACAACATTAGAACTTGAAATTGGCTGTATAAAATAAGCAGGTGTTAAAGGTTCCAAATATTCAGCCTTGTCATCGTTTATAAAAGTAAGTGGTCGTCCATTCATAGTAGCCTCGCAGTCACATATAATGGTATGTAACTCTTCATGTGAAACTGCTGCATTACCTAAGACTCGACGAAGTAAGTCTTTCATTATCCTAATTAATCGCTCCCAATAACCGCCCCACCATGGAGCTGCGGGTGCGTTCATTTTCCACGTGATACGTTTCACAGTAGAATATTTTTGTATGTCATTCCAGTCTAATTTAGCCATTAAATTCTTCGTGCCGTGAAAATTTGTTCCTTGGTCGGAGTTAAGCATATTAATTCGCCCACGTCGCGCTATGAATCTTCGCAGAGCCATTATAAAATCTTCTGTCGACAGTGATATCGCGATCTCCAAATGAACAGCACGATAAACGGCACATGTGAATAAGACAATCCAGCACTTTTTGCCATTTCGTAAAAATAATGGACCTGCTAAATCGACACCAGTCGTCTGAAATGGAGCTGAGCATGTCACGCGCTCCAGAGGCAATGGTGCAACAGGAGCTATAGTTGGCTTCGCTTTGTGTCTCTTGCAAACAACACAGGACATGATAACCTGTCGCACGAGCCTTCGTATGCCAATGATCCAAAATCTAGACCGAATATCTGCAATAAGTTGATTTGCACCAGCATGTTGTAAATGAAGGTGACGTTGTCTCACTAACATAAGTACAACTGGATCTCTCGCTGGTAATAAATATGGAGATTTCATAGACTCGGGAAAATCTGATAATAACAATTTCGTTTTAATTCGAACCACTCCGTCACTGTCTTTAAATGTTACTAAATTTCCTGAACATTTATCTAAGTACTCCTTGTTTACCAATTGTATAAGTTTTATAATAAACTCTTCGGCCTTTTCGAATTCTTTTGATGTTAATTCTCCTTTCCGTTTATTATCAATATTTTTAATATTATATGCAAATCTTAGTACCCAAGCAGTCGTTCTAATAGTCTTTGAATATATTGAAAAATATTTCTGCAATCTACAAATAAAATTCTCATCCGTGTTTACATTTATATTACAAACTGTCTTTTTTGTTTCAGCAAGTACCTCTCTTTCGTTTACGACTAACTCCGAGTGGGGCCAGTCTGCTGGTGTTAATCGTAACCATGACGGTCCTTCCCACCAGCGACATTCAAATAACTTTTTCGCGTTACATCCCCTAGATGCCAGGTCAGCCCAATTTAGTTCTCCTGGAACATGGTACCAGTCACAAATATTTGTGTTTCGCCGGATTTCTTTCACTCTGTTGCCTACAAATGTGTTTAGAGAAAGCTCGCGTTTTACCCAACACAAAGCAACTTCAGAGTCTGTCCAGCAATATTCGGAACAGTTAGACAGTTGTAAACTATCTCTGACATTAGCCAGTAGTCGAGATCCTATCAATACAGCAGTGAGCTCCAATCGAGGTATAGTCATATTTTGTGACGGGGTTACCCTCGATTTAGCGGCCACTAACTGAACTGACACCTTCTTATCCTTCTCAGACCTTAATAAGACACAAGCACCATATCCTCTTTTACTAGCGTCACAAAATAAATGAAAACTAACACTACATTCACTCAAAATATCCACCGACAACCGTCTCGGTATAGAACATTCACCTATAAAATTTATATATTGATACCAGTCTTGAAACTTCATAAACAAATTTGAAGGTAATTTTTCATCCCATGGTATCTGTCGTTGCCACGCCTCTTGCAGAAGAAGTTTAGGCGTCAAAACAACTGGGGATGTGTAACCAATCGGATCAAATATCTTTTGATCCACAGACAAAAGTTTACGCTTTGTGATTCCTTCAATTTCGCTGAATGTAGGAAGACTACTACAATTGCAACATAACTCATCCGTCACTACATTCCAATTCAAACCCAAAATAGAAATCACACTCTTACCAACCTCATTTAGCCCTTCAGAAGATACCCACATTCTAAGATTAAACTTACCAACTTGCATAATCCTTTTGGCTTCAGAAACTACCTTAACAGCCTCATCTTTTGTATCGACACTAATCAAACAGTTATCAACATAAAATGATTTATTTAATAGTTTCGCTGTACCACCTAATGGTCCATTCTCCATATAATTAAGGTGATATTGTAATGTAGCTGATAATAAAAATGGACTAGATGTGAGCCCAAATACGACTCTACAGTGTCTATATGTGACTAATTTCGTCATTGTATCATCTTCAAACCAAAGAAACTTCAAATATTCTCGATCAGGCTCTGCCAGACTTATTTGAAGAAAAGCCTTCTCAATGTCGGCTGTCATCCCTATGACTCCGACTCTAAAATTATTGATTAAATTGGGTATTTTATCAATTAAGTTATTACCCTTTTCTAGACACTTATTAAGACTAAGACCGTTTTTATCGATAGCTGAAGCATCAAAAACGGGTCGAATACTCGTCGTGAGACTTTGCTCTTTTATCACCGGCCTATGTGGTAGGTAATGTCCACAGTTGATAGTAGTATTTTTCGCTGTTTCAATAATTCCTAACTGCAACCACATTTTAAAAACATCGTCATATAACTGATATTTTCCGCTTGCAATCAACCGTCTAGTCATTGACTCTAACCGTTTATTGGCTTTCTCAAAATTCGGAGTTAAATCATCAAAATTCGTCTTAAATGGTAAATTAACTTCATACCTTCCATCGTCCAATGTTTTTATATTCTCTCGGAAAGTCATTAAAGTATCAGCGACAATTTCCGTTTTTGACTTTACCTCCGCTGGGTCTCTAATCCCAAGTGTCTCCAAAGACCAAAATTCTGTCAAATTATTATTATCACATGAGCAATAAAGAACAGATAAAACCTTATCAAATGAATTATTTATACTCACCGGTTTGCCCTGTAACGCCCAACCCAAGTTGGTTTTAATTGCGACTAGACCATCCTCCAGCTGAACTATAGTACCTGTTATCAGAAATCCTAAATAGTCCGCACCTATCAACAACCCAATGTCTGAGATGTCACCCTTGTCTGTCAGGGAGATATTATGTCTGACAAGCATATTTTTAATATTCACATCTCTAAAATTAATTTTTGGTATGTTATTACAAATAGTATTTAAGCTTATAACAGATACAATTATACTAAATGTATTCTCTAAGGAATTCAACTTAATATTATATACGTTACGGTCTTGCGATTCAGTTTCATGTCCACCAAATAATGAAAAAGCTAACTTTTCCTTCGTTAAAGGTATCATACCTAATTTCTTTACAATATCTTCTCGTATATATGTGCGCTGAGAACCCGAATCAAGCAAAGTACGTACTCGTAATTTCTTACCACCACATTCTACTTCAACTATAATAGTTTGTAACAGAGTCTGTCCCTTTGTAAAAATGCTGGAAGAAAGCGCAGCGGCCTCATCTGACTTTCCTGAAATTACTGGGTTTCTCTCAGTCCTCTGATCTGTACATAAGACCGTAGAGTGGCGTTTCGCACAAATGAAACACTTGACGATCGCTCTGCATGCTTTAGGATGATGACCCTTTCTAAGACAAATGGCGCATGCTTTTTTGTCTTTTAGCATCTGGCGTCGCTGTTCCAATGACATTTTTTGTATTTTATAACATTCGAGGCTTCCATGTGTGCTTTTGTCGCACCATAAACATACGAGTTGTTTTTGTTTTATGTTTGATATGAGACATTCTGCAGTACTTGGTTTTCCAATTGACAAATCTTTTTGTTCCTTATTATTAAATGTTTCCCTTGACATAAGAATTCTTTGCTCACTTGCAACTTCTTTCTTCAAAAACTCTAACAAATCTGTTAATTCTTCGGACAAGTCTTTTGTCTTCTGCCTGTTTCTTTCCCATGTTCTAAGAAGCTCTTGGGGTATAGCAGATTCTACCAATGGTAATAAGATCGCGGCATAATTTTTAATAGTAAGACCTAGAGTTTCAAGCGCACGCAGTTGAGCGTTTAACTTATCGTGCAAATGAGTTATTGAATCTTTCTTGTCTACTAGAATGATTCCCAAAATTTCTCTTACGTATATAAGTGTGAGTAAGTCAGTTCTCGCGTATCTCGCCTTTAACTGTTCTAAACATTCGTCATAAGTTGTTGGAGAAAAACTCTCGATCAATTCACGAACCTCCGAGTTTTCTTTTGCTGACTGTACCAAATATTGGTATTTATCAATTTTGTCCATTATTGGGTCACTATCAATTTTACTAAATTGACCCCAAAAAGGCAACCAGTTTTTTAACTCGCCATCAAAAATATGTAATTGTAATCTTGGCAGTTTTAGATTTCTGGCTTGTTGATTTAATTCTTTATCTATAATATCTGCTTTTTCCGCAACTTTAGATATATCGTTAAATTTTTTCTTAATACGCAGCCATTTTTCTTTATAGGTGTCAACTGATATAAGTTCTTCCTCTAAATCGTTTTCGTCAAATTCTTTACTTAAAATCAAGTTTTTTATTTCATTGTCTAATTTAAAAAGATTTTCCGTATGATCGCTTAGCTTTGTATAGCACACGTCTAAATCTACGGTTACCTTCTGGTCTAGCAATGTTTCGAAACTATTTGTGGTATTGGTAAAAAGTCTTCTCAACACAGTTCGTTCCTTTTTCTTATTTTGCAAATCCATTTTTATTACTAATAAATGCCTACGGTCGCCACAATGTTAAATTTAAAGGGACGCTGAATGTTGAAATATTAGAAAAAAAACACCATTTCTTTCGAACTGACATCAAAGAAGAAGAAAATGTCAGAAATTTATTTTTCTATAATCCTCTTTAAAAAGTTTTATACTAATTCACAACAGTAGGTAAAACTAGCCAAATCTTTGAACAAGTTATAATAGATCTGCGAGTCCGTAACAAATATATGCAGAAGATTTTTTTTTTTTTTTGAATCAGTGGGGTCTTCAATTTTCCTCATTTTGATTATTGAATTTTGCAGGAAACAACTGGATCACAGATAGTCATATCCGTGCCTTTTAACTAACAATAAGATATTAATATCCTACATTTGTAAAGTTGGAAACTTAGATATTAATACAAATAGAATATGAGTTGTTTATTGAGTTTTGACAACTAATTTACTTTCATACGTGAAGGAAAACTGGAAGTCATGGAGAAATCAAGAAAGTACTGTAGCGACATCTACTTTACTTTCGGAACCTATTTTTTTTAATACTTCATTCCATACAGCATACCTAAACCCTAAACTTCTTGGTTACTTCCCCAGAGGCATTATGTGGCTATGGTTTGTATCTTCTACTTTTTTAATACTTTATGCCATTTAAAACTAAAAATATATTGTCTATGATAAAGTCATTACGCATTTTTATTTGATTGGTCAAAATTAAATTGTTGCTTTTTTGGACCAATAGAAGTAAAATAGTGGACGACATGCCAGATTTACAAAATAGCATCTTTTTGATGAGTCATAGACTTACAATTGACACTCGTTTCCGGAAAAGTTGGTAAAAAAAAATGTCTATGAAATTCATTTAGATACTTTTGGTAATTATTGTTATCTGACTTATAATATTATTTTCATACGATTTTGTTATTTTTATTAAGAATCAGTTATCCTGGTGTGTTATTAAAATATTTACGGTGCCTAAGTGCCAAATCTCGATTTACAGTCTACTATAAATTTTCTCCCGCCATTTATTTAAACGTATTCCACCGGAAATTAGTCTATAGATGCGTTTGTTTCCGAAAAGTGAACGTTTCACGAGTCAACAGCAACGTCTTTCGAGAAGTTCTAGGCGCTGTGTGCGACATTTTTCGTTCTTTTATCCGTCATCCAATCTTCAATGTAATGAAATAACACGTCGATTAGCGTATATTTACGATATTAGTGTTCATAGTCGTAATTTAGTAATCTTAAGATTACGATATAAGCTAATATGGGCGACGAAAGCCACCCGAAAACTCTCTACGTCGGTAATTTAGACGCGAGTGTGACAGAAGATTTCCTATGCGCGTTATTTGGACAAATAGGCGAGGTAAAAGGCTGTAAGATAATTCGTGAACCCGGTAATGATCCTTATGCATTTCTCGAGTTTACAAATCATTCGGCAGCGGCTACGGCCCTGGCCGCCATGAACAAACGAGTGTTCCTCGATAAGGAGATGAAGGTTAACTGGGCTACGAGTCCTGGCAATCAGCCGAAGACCGACACTAGCAATCACCATCATATATTTGTTGGTGATCTGTCGCCGGAAATTGAAACTCATATATTGCGTGAGGCTTTTGCACCTTTTGGTGAGATATCAAACTGTCGGATAGTCCGCGACCCACAAACGCTCAAATCAAAAGGGTACGCCTTTGTGTCATTTGTTAAAAAAGCTGATGCTGAAGCTGCAATTCAGGCTATGAATGGACAGTGGTTAGGCTCACGTTCCATACGCACGAACTGGTCAACTCGTAAGCCACCAACCAATAGACCCAACGAAGGTGCGCCAAGTAGCAAAAGAGCTAAACAGCCAACTTTTGATGAAGTTTACAATCAAAGTTCACCAACAAACACAACTGTCTACTGTGGAGGATTCACAAGCAATGTAATTACTGAGGAATTAATGCAAAGCACATTCTCACAGTTTGGCCAGATACAAGATGTTAGAGTATTCAGGGATAAGGGGTATGCGTTTATTAGGTTCACAACAAAAGAAGCGGCTGCCCATGCTATTGAAGCTACCCATAACACAGAAATCAGTGGTCACACAGTCAAATGTTTCTGGGGTAAAGAGAATGGAGGTGGCGATAATCAGGTGTGTATCTGAACCTTTGACTGATTATTAATATTGTATTTAAAAATATATATATAAGTATTGAGACTACCCTATGGTGAACAGGTATTTATTTTTGACACACTCGCTATCAAGCATGTTGAAGATGTGATTGAAAATCATAATAAGTATGATCAATAATGATATTAATGAACTATTTAATTTGACATGTTTATGTAGTTTCAATATGTACTAAAAGCATGCTGCAAAGATAACTTTGATTGTTTAATGATATAACTTGGGTCATATAAGACCTATATTCAATATTAACAAAAGTATTAGGGAATTTCTTGCAATAATCAAATCTACAATACTTTATTAAAACTACATATCTTTCACTAAAATATTGTAACTGCAATGCACCTGTAAAATGGCATCTTTTTTATTGTTAATCTAAAGTTATTTTCTCTGTATTTAAAGTATAATAATTATAAAATATTCATGCACCTTTGTCAATATCATACGAATCTGACATTGACATAGATGATGTATTATAGGCAATATTAAAATTCACACTAATTGCAATGATACAAGTAATACTTGTTATCTCAGAAAGTATAATATTAATTATCACTGTAGTAATTTGTTTTTTTAAATATTTAGATCATATCAACCCCAATATATTAATTGCATGTTTGTACTCAGCAAACCAGTGATTCTTTAAATAATGTTTTTACATAGTAATACAGAAGCAGATTAAAGTTTTTATTTTACTTTTGTGGTAAGACTAGTGCTTATCACGTCATATTTTTTGCCATATTTTGTAAATTGTAAAGCATTCAAGTTCAAATTGCATTTAAAATCTTGCATAGTTTTAAAGATTTAAGCATACATAGGGACCCAGATACAGACAGAGAAAGCGACTTTGTTTTCTACTATGTAGTGATGAAATGCAATCAAATAATTAAAGTATAAGTTTGTTTTTATATTGAAAAGTGTTTGGAAGTTTTTACAAGGGTTTTTTCTATGTTTACAGAGTACGAACAATGCACCGCCTTCAGCCCCTGCTAACATGGGAGCACAAACACAGTATCCTTACCCATACCAACAAGGGATGGGTTACTGGTATGCCCAGGTAAATAGAACAATATTTAAGAATAATAACTGTAATTGCAATAAATCAATGGATAATACAAAAAAATATTAATTGAAAACAATTTCTTTGCTACTGTCCAGTGGTTGACTCACCCCATTGGGGGCCCTGAGTGGTTATTCTGCTGGTAACTTGCAATATTTTTTATTAAAATTAAAACATGCCAATTAATTTTAGGGAACTTGCATACTTATAATCTTTCCTGAAATCTTTTAAAAACTATGTTATAGGTTTTCAACTAAGATGTGTATATAGATAAAATTTTATTTTCCTCTTTTATATTTTTAAGGGTTTGGGCTGAAAGACCAAGTAATGCACACTTATCAATAGAGTACTTTGTTTTTTGAGTGATTTATGAATAACCATTTGAAAACATGAATTTATGTTCAAATATTGTAGTCTTTCACTTTACAATAATTTAACATTTTTTTAAACGAACTCCTTGACAGAAATTAAAACAATGAAGTAAATAGGTTACATGATTTCATTCAAATTGTCAAATTCGTAGTTTAAACTTATAGAACGGATATCATATATCTGTGAGTATTATGTGTTACCAAAATTGTAATGAATTACTGAGTAATATGGCAATATTTCTGATAGCTTTAGATATTTCAGACTACTAATCAAAAAAATCTAACCGCTGGTCTGTCTACTTAGTAAACAGACTGTGCTTTAATATTTCTGATCATTGTTTATCCTTGAATTATATAAAAAATAATCAGACCACTATTGCTTGTGCAGCTTGCATAGAGAGGCACAGAGGTGCCTGTCCTCTGAAAGGACCCGTAAGTGAAGATATATAAATATGAAATCTCAGTACATAAGTATCTGGCATTGCTAAACGTCCCATCATTTCTAGGACGCCCCATATTTTGAATGCCTAAAATGCAGTAAAAAGTTAACTAAAATGATCTAGATCTAGGATTCTGCCCTATATATGGCCTATGCTGACTTCCCTATTTATTCATTGTGTTTGGTATTTCTATCCCAACTGATATTGCGGACTGATGTAAGAAATAAGTGTGCCCTAATAGTATAAGTATTTATGTTGGCTGATGGGTCCCGCATACGGAGCGAGATGTATTTCTGTGCTCATTTTTGTTACTCAGTCGATTGGTATATCGACCAATTAAATAAATCACAGATATTGCCTGAACCCGCACGCGGGCCCGCATAGATTAATTAATAATTTTTCATTGTTTAATTGTATTGATTTTACAAGTATTTATACTCAAAACCAATAAAAATATCTTAAAACTGACTCGATCGTCAGAAAAATGTTCTAAATACTCACAACAAAATTTTTGTCCTTTAGAGCACCTATTTGTCCTTCATAAGATGAAAATATCTAGCAACCCTACATAGGTATATCCCTTGGAGATTCTTTTGTTGTTTATAAAGTGCGCGATTGTCATGTTGGTTGTGACGTCATCGGGTGGGAACAATGAGCCGGCTGTCACGCCTGATTACCTGCTTAAAATTTCTGTTTCACACTGTTTATAATACAAATAGTTAGAAATATTTGCCAACAATAACTTTCTACAATGTGTTGAGAAATTTAGAATTCCAGTTAAACAGCAGCTATGTTATGTGGTTATCTATTCTTGAAATAATTATATAAAAATACTTAAATAATAGGAAGCCTGTCTTTATATAATTTATGACAGGGGTGGCCAACTTGCTTATACCCAAGATCGACTTTTCACTGACGACACCCAGTATGATCTATTAATTACTTTATTTTTTAAAATCTTAAATGAAACAGCATAGTTCGTACACAATTATGTAGCATATTTATTATTTTTTTTTTTTTGAATTGCCACGATCGACCGGACTAATAGTCGCGATCGACTGGTTGACCACCCATGATTTATGAGATAATACAGTTTTTAGATTTTAAATTTCCGTTAGATTTTGCTGACCTTAATCTTTTATGTTTATGTTACGCTTAATATGCCATTACGCAGCATATGATGGATCTATTACTGAGTTGTCACACTAATAATTTGTAGAACGAAGCTGTATGTCTGTCTCTTTGTTGTTCGAATAGTTACCGAGCAATGATGTCTCGGTCGATGGCTGCGTGCAATTTTGATGTACATATTTGGTTCCTCATTCAATTTATTGAATTTTGTATAAGTAGTTTTAATTTTAATGACGAACGAAAATTATCCACCCGGCTCTACCGCTTCATTGCAATTTACCTTTATGGCTGGTTTTAATGTACGATTTTATAAAGTAACTGTTTTTTACTGAACAGTACATGAAGCATTATAAAATATGTAAATTTCGTTGCCTACTTGATGATAAACAATACAAGAATTAATATTTATTCTACATAATGTTACTTATACATATAGGTCAGTGTTAGTGGAAGTTGTGTTATGGAGATTTACATCCACAAATAGTTCATGAACATTTCCCCCATACCAAGCAGCGGATCTTTATAAAATTTGGATATAGGTTCTGCTGATTTTGTACTTCAAAATTGACCATAATAGAGGTAGAGGTTACGTTACTCTGAGTGGACTTCCCCCTTAAAAACGGAGGAAAAACGTTTCAAACAAATATATTCCAGATTGGGTAAATTCTAAAACACATGTTTTATAAATTAATTCTGAAAGTTCAAAACTTTCAAATTATAGTGCGATTGAAATTTTTATATCTAAGAAATCTACGTTTTCATTCTCATTTTTGAGAGTGTTATTTTTATCGAAAAAACATTCTTGGTAAAAAAAACCTGTATGAAACAAAAGCAATGGTAAGTTTATGATGGCTAATAGCCCCACTAATAGCTTTTGGCCACCCATATCCTATAGCAGATTTCTGGTTAGAGCTTTCTTTCTGCTATCCTATAGCAGACTAAAAACGTTAAGTACTGCGCCATCTATCTGCTCCGTTGTGAAACCTATAATTCTATTCTAAGTGTAAATAATAATCTTTACCTTCTGATAATATATTATGTCCCGTGAATTTTCAGTAGTCTATAAACGCTAATGTAAAAGGTTAAGTGTTTAATTTCTCTGGCCCTATACAAGTTATAATGTCAAATTATATACTTAATCGTAACATTTAAGATGTCTCGATAATTCCACTTTTTTTGTCTTTAAAAAAATCGCTAGGCATAATAAAATACTTAAACTATTAAATTAGAGATAATATTTATCAACAAAAAATATAGGTTTATATTCAATTTGTGAGCAGTAATTTTTTTTAGATTTATACAAAATAATTTTATTAATTATTTAAAAGTTAAACATATTTAGTATAACCGTTCTATTTAGCGAGTTTGTCACTATATATAAAGGCTTAACACTCGTTTTTACGACTTAAAGCCTTAAAAAAAGCATTAGAGAAAAGCGAATTCATACTATTTTATCTTAATACTCAATTTAAATAATTATATGCTACGATATTTTTTTAGTAATTGTGCAATGGCAAAGATAAGATCATATCTTCTAAAATGTCTATTGTAATTTCCATTTTATTATTGTCGTGTATGTAACATTATAAAGATATTATGTATGTATATGCCAAAAGAGTTTCATTCGTTTATTCATAATAATGCATTTCCTGTTATTTCAGGGTTACCCCGCGTTACAAGGTTACATGGCGCCTGGATATTATCAGCAGTATGCAGCCGCCTATAGCAGCCCACAAGCGGCAGCCGCAGGTATTACTTTATACCTTATTTTTACTGTTTAAAAGTGTATATTTAGAGCTAGTAACAAAATAGGCAGTTACTTGTAAACTAGAAAATCTAATAGGATTCCTACCATAGAAGACGTGTTTTTTTTTACCCTACAATACAATTTAGACGCCTGGCAGACGCAGGGTCGTCAACGCGTTGTGACCTTTGCACACAAATACTTGGGTTTATATTCATACTGTTTTTAAAACAACAATATAGTACCAAATAAAAACAGTAAAAAAATCTTGCGTTTGTTATGAAGCGCGTTTCCCTTGCGATCTGCTAATACTCACTGATAACGTGCAGATGTAAGCATATAATGCGTTGTAAGCGCAATAAATAGGCCCACATCACAACAAATTAAAACTTTAATTATTGTTATTGGTTGCTGTTGCAAACCATTTTTTAAACAAGTTTGACGCATACTTGGCCAAGGCTTTTCATGGAAAATAAGAAACAATAAAAAAAATCCTCGGGGAATTGTAATATCTGAATTATTCGTATTTTTGTATAAATTATTGAGTATTGAATACAGTACCATCTGTCGTGTCAAATAGTGATTAAAATTTTGCAAAGATTTAATATTTGTGCCGCCGCTGCTTTCTACGTGCCTGTCCACATGTGACGAATGCCCGTTAACTAGCTAATTTCAATATGCACATGTAATAGAATTTCCTTATCGGCCGTTGTCTCTGACCTCGTTTTCCATCGTTATCACAGGTTTAAACAATTGGTATGTGCCACTGTGTAATTAAAGCGTCGCGTGGGTCCGAAAAATGTAAACTCGTGCTATATAATTATGTTATTTCAATGCTGAAAGGAAACTATTGCTCTTTTTCCTACTAGAAATTTATATTGAAATTTATGCTAGTAAGAATATCATATTCTAGTATAGGTTACTATTTATTCAGATCACTATTATCATCACATCACATCACAACCGGGGCTCAGGCATTCCCTATGGATGGAATCGAATCAAATTGAATAGGGAGAAAATAATTGTAAAAAAAAATTAAATATTCTGAATTAATGAACTTTCAAAATTTAGAAACCATTTCAATATATTTTTTTGCCCGGTTACATATTCAATATTTTTTTTGGACTTAGGATTACGTATCCAAAGGTTAAAACCGGGCCCCTATTACTGAGTCTTAGTTGTCTGTCTGTCTCTCATCAGGCTGTATGTAACTTGTGAACCGTGAAAGTTAGACTTTGTTGATGATGTATTTTTTTATTGCCGCTAATAGTGAAAACCAGAATAAAACAAATATTTAAGGGGGCTTCCATAAAACAACAATAATGGATGCCATATTTGTGATCGGGAAAAAAATTGAAATTTAGGTACATACATAATTGTTTATAATATATAAATACTGGGTTATTTATAAAAAACCAATGAACTCGCATAACTAATTAGCTAACATCATAAGTAATGATATACTGATCTATTAATTTTATTATTTTGAATACTTTGAACAATATTTTTTTTTATTTTCCTGTTGTGATATTAATAGGTATACAACAGGTTACATAATTAACGCACATCCTTGAAGTAGTTAGTTTAAAATCAGATACTGATTCAATTTCAACAACTTACAATATAGGTATTTTTACTTGGAATTAAGTAAATTATGGACACCTGTATCCATTACAGCCACAACAAACAAAATATATTTAAGTAAATGTAATAAGGCTTTTTAAAATGTACTATATTTTTAGAAAACTGAGCTTATTTTTAATGTGATTGAGTGTAAAATGTTCTTAAATTCACAAGTTCAAAAATCAAAGAGGATATATTTAATAAGTCTAAGAATAGGTTGTTATCTACTTTTATACCAATAAGTAATATGGATGGGACACTACACGTGTATATATAGCAAAACAACGTTTGCGGGGTCAGCTAGTCTAATATAGTTTTTACATATATTAGATGCATGTACAACTTTAAGATTAAAACGGCAAAATAAATTAAAAATTATTTTTCTATAAAATTAAAATGTGACACATTAAAGTTATAAAACAAGTGTTATGACCAGTGGTCGGAATTAGGTAGAGTTATTCATGTACTTACACTGATTTCATACAGAGAAAGAATAAAGTGGATATGCCTCAAATCCCGAGATTAATTTTAAAGAGCAGAAAAAATCCCGTGATTTTTTAAATAAAAAGTTATTTACTTTTACACAATTTAAACTACTGCACGCACGACGTTGCCAAACTTATATCAATGACATCAGATGTCCAAAGTTGCAATATACCAATACGCGCGATGCTGCCACGAAGGTCCACATTAATATCAACATTTCGATGCAAGTACATAAATAACTCTACCTAATTCCGAACTCTGGTTATGACTTATGTTGATGCTCAGATTTGCTTTTAGACCCAGGGCTATTTGTTATATGTATATGCCAGCCTCTTATGTGTGTTCTGGGTTTTGTTTGTTCCCAGCCGGTTACCGCATGAGCATGCCCGGCGGTGGCGGCGCGGGATCGGGCGGGGCGGGTTGGGGCGGAGCGCCGCCTGTCATGTACGCGTCCGCGGCGATGCCCTCCGCGCAGTACCCCACGCAGTAGCACCCCTCACCACCGCCGCGACTGAGAATATGAGAATACCCCCCTCCACGAGTTGTACCAATGAATGTCTAACTATTGCCGAATCTAATATATCTCACTGACAGAACTTCAATCTTCCCGATAATGTAATTTCTCTTAGTTTTGGTAAATGTCTTTTTTCTCATTGGTCTATTATTCTATTTGTCAGTTCTCCGTTAGAAGTAATAATACTTTTTTTTTGCTTTAGTCACACAAAATGTACAGTCCACAGCACATCAGGTTATAAGAAACTGTCATTTTTCTGTAATCAATTTATACCTTAATTTGTTGGTAGTTGGGTTCAGAATTAATTGCAGAAATTTGATATTTCGTAGTCAAATAACCAAATCTGATATGCTACTTTGTGTACTTAAGTGTAGGATTAGAGTTAAAAGTCTCCTTCTTTCTACCATAAAACTAAGTAATAATATACTAACGGGAAGAAACTGGATCTGTGGCGTATGTCATATTTGTTTGGTGGCATAACTTAAGCTTTTCACATCCCTAGGCAATGTTAGTGATTCTAGCCTCATTACTAAAGGACATTGGAGTGAACTTTGAGAACAATTGAAACCAACATTTGTTTTAATATGCAGCACAAAAAACTGCTTATGTTTAGTTTCATTTAAAACTGTATTCTTTAGAGTTGAGTTGCAATTGTATCACATTGGCGGTCGCTGTCACTCTTGATTCATTTTCTTCTTTAGTGAGGGGACTTTTAGAGACGGCAGTAGTTACGTTTATTATGCATTGGGTTTTTGTCCAATGTTTTTTTCCGTATGTGACCAGTAGATGGCGCGGAACCATGTGTTCTATGAGTGCTTGATTGTTTACAATTTATTCACAGGCTACCGGCTTTTACGCCATCTATTGGTTGTTACTTCACGGAAAGTAGTAAAGATCGCACACCTAAACTTGTGGGTGTGTATGTCAAAACCGTTGTTAATGAATTAGTTTGTAATTTCATATTAATTCGCTGTTAAAAGCTCGATATACGTTATCGAGCTTTTCTATATTGTTAATACTGAGTACCAACGTTCCCAAACTACCGGGTAAAGGAATCATTTGTTACAATTTTGTGAAGCGCTTCACATTATCCATACGACAATACGTGTTGACATACATGCCCTGATCTATATGATAAAAGTGAAAACAAATTTTGCATGATTAAAATGATAAAGCAGACTGCTTGAAACTTTTAATCCTGGCGAAGTCGGTTTTTAACTTACTTATATATTGTATACAATTTCCAGCCGCCTTGAAGAGTGCCCGATTATCGAGTTCCCAAAAATGTATTACACATACAAAAATGTGTTTGAAAACATAAACGAAATTTCTGTAATTAATATTTACTGTTTGATGTCACAAAACTGATTTGATAATTTTATACGACTAATAAAGATCTGTATACTTATGTAAAACATATTCACTTATGTTGTATTAATGTATGAGGCCTTTAAATTCAGTCAAACCATAAAACACTTATTAATAGATTTATAATTTTCGCCATATTTTGGTGTTAAAGAAGTGTAAAAAGTATATTCCTGTGATAAGTGTTTTAGGGTCCGATAACTAAGGTGCTAAGATTATGTACTTGGTGGTATTAAATATCATCATTAAGAATTGTGACTGTTACGGACACGTTTCAAGGCGCCGCGTTTTCCCCGCCCTTAGTATTCTCAATCGCGTTCCGTGGCCTCGTTGTGAAATACTGTTTGACAATATTACGCTCACATCGAAGTACGGAAGTGTCTTCCTTCTCTTTCGCAAGTTAGTCAACCTTTAGATGAGTGAAAGAGAACGCAGGCGCCACACTAGTTTATCGAAGGAATTGTGAAAAAAATATATGTATACATATTCTATTACAGAATCGAATTTCTTTACCGCACTCCTTATATTACGTTATCCCCCAATACTTTGTCACCGGTAATATTGTCAAATAGGCATAGTGAAATTAATTTCAAAATTCGACCGTACATATCTTCGGATTTCCCAAGTTTTGGCATTGGTGTCAAAACTAGCACCCGAGAATCGACTCATGCTGTGAGTGGAATGCGATCAAGCAACAGAAGTCTGCGGCAAGATGATGCCGTTAGTTTGTTGGTCGCAGGAATCGGCGCAACCCACGGGACTACAGCGCCCGTCACCTCACACGGCTCCCCGCCGTTGTTAGCCGACCTACATAGATAGAACTTAACGAAATAAATTATAAATTAAAAAAAAGTTATAAATATTATAGGGGAGTGGTGTCGCGAGTGGCCTCGTGTACATACGTTGATATTTATTGGCGCTCGGCGCTGGCAGACTGAGCTATAATCCCCTGGACTCTACGAGACGCGCCAGTCCGTTTGACATATTTATAATTATTAAGTTCGCGGCACATGTTGTTTTGTTTTGACCTTGTTATGATTTTGTATGGAAACACTGGTAAGTCAATAAAGCAGTGGGTCTGGGACAACAGATGTTTGATTTACCGTTTTTTATACTGTATTAGGTTTATTTCTGGGTCCAAATTTTTTATAATAAACGACCATACGGCCCACCTCTGTGATCAAAGCCTGCACAATATACATTCGAATGACAAGAAATTTATTGTAAATTCTTAATTAAAAGGTCATTTTGTAAAAGGAAAATAAATAGTTTAAGTTTAATATTACTTTGGTTATTGTTGTATTATTAGAAATCTCTTGCAAGCAACCCCAGACGTTAGATGTTATGTCCAATATGCATGTATGCTTCAATAAAAGTTAATCGATATGAACAGTATTTAAAAAAAGAGAAATAGATTTTTAACATATAAAACACAGCTAAAGCTATATTTATTAACCGTATCTGTAAGTGGAAAAACCATAGAACATCCTGAAAACATAATATCCTGATTTATTTAATCAAAAATCCTTCAGTTTGATCAATATCAGTAATACAATGATTACAGTAAATACAATACGAGATCAACAATTAACATAACAGTGATTAAAAGTTTACACTGCGATTGTCATCCGTAATCAATATTTCTTGAAGTTTTTATGGGTCAATGAGAAATAAACTGATTAGAAAAGGGGAAAGCAGCTTACGTGTCTGCAGAAGTTATTTGAATTGATATCTACGTAAACGACGAATCAAGGGCTCGCGTGTTGATTGCCTCGACTACAGCCGTCAGTATAGTTCTGCTCAATGAAACTACTTTAGGCCAAACACTGGAACTTGGAGCATTAGGCGAAACACTAGCACGACGTCCATAATAATTACAACAAAATTTAAGAATGTAGGTACACCGATTAAAGACTTATTTTCCCAGTGACGAGTAGGTACTTGCTAATTTGATTTTTTTTTTTACTTTGAATGGTCCTGCATCAGTATAATTTAAAGATTAACAGCCAAATTGTATAGACAAATACAGGGCAATAGGTACATCACAGGGTTGGAAAAAACATGTTTAGAAATTCTGCCAACATCCCGTTATTTACACTGAGCCGTAACGAGGGAGAGGCGAGACTCGAGAGACTGAGCGGAAGTTAATATTAACCGGTTCTCACTTGCGGTTATTCTTTCAGCGTCATTTTCTAACGAGAGCATAATGGATTGGGATCGATACCTACATGGGTATATAGTCGACGGCACGTCAGTATATTCAAAAGTCAAATTTTACCACTTAACACATTGTAGATAGAGTTCAAAATCAACGAATGAAATTTGACATGTTGTGGTAACCTAAAGTGCAGCCCCGTGTATACTTTAAATATTGAAATAATACTAGATATATACTAGTTGAGATGTAATTTAATTTACTTCTCGATCCATCCATTATTCTGATTAGAAAATGACGTTTCGCATGCCATTTCCGTACCTATATTTGTGCACTATATGGAATTTTCAAGTCCGGCAGTCCGATTTTTTCCGGTCCTGAATGACATGAAAAACCCGGATGATTAGCTTGTGTACTTGTCCATTTATTCCGAATCGGAGCGGCGCAGCTGTGAAGCTACACGTCACTTACGCTAGGTGCGATGAGATTTTTGGAACGTCGGCAATTGCTTGCTTTATTACTCTACGTGTTAAGACGTAAAAGACGGAAAGAATATAAAATAGTAGTAGTATATTGGTTACGGTTATAGTTTATTTTGAAAAAACGGGTAATAAAAATTATTATAGATATCGTGATCACGAGACAAACTTATACCCTTACTAATTTAGGAACAGCATTATTCGCACACAATAGCTAAAAATATCTGTGACATTCGATTAAAATTAAAATTTTGATCTACATGCATAACGTATCTAACTTATTTGAATAAGGATTAATACTGTATTGTTTTAAAATAGGTTCATAATAACCCATCATTTTACTGTTTTAAGTAAACTCAAAAGAAATGGTTATTGTGGGTATCCTTGGAAGATAGACACATACCACCGCGGAGTTTTTTGTAGATCTATTAAAGAGGTACACTTCCATCATACATTGTTTTGTTATAACTCAAAAGTTTTTGGCAACGTTTTCTAGGAGAGCACCTGATCAGCTTTATAGCGAAGCGAAGTCATCCTCGTGAACGGGTGCTGCCAATGCGGATGAGTCTGCTGTGAACTACTTAATTTCGTCTATTTGTTTCTATTATGCATATTGTATATCAATGTGTCAATGAGTATGTACTCTCACGACTCGGCAATCGGTATATTAATCCATAATCGAAAAAAATATGTTTTATTATTTCTGATATTGTATTAGAAAGTGACTTCATAGTCTACTGAAGTCACTTTCCAATTGACTTCCCTGTATGAAATAAAACAGGGAGAAAAAGCAGCCCTTTCTGAGTTTCTTGTCGGTTCTTCTCAGTACAAGATCTCCCGCCGTAGAATTGCGACCCGGGGCGTAGATTTTTTTTAATTGAATGATATTGAATTTGAATACTAATATTATAAAGAAGAAAGATATAATTGTTCTTTCCAGTGAATATGAACCGTGACTACTGGACCGATTTTTAAAACACTTTCACTTACGGGATCAAACTTTACTGACTTAGGCTATAATTTACGCTAGTAAAATTGCGAGACAACAGCTAGAATTTAATTGAACTAATATCGTTGTAATATCTTCAGTTTGTAGAAAACCTAAACTTACTATACACTAAAACCTTCCTCAAGAATTGCTCTATCTATTGTTGAAAAACGCACGAAAATCTGTCCAGTACTTTTCGAGTTTATTGCGAACAGGCAGAAGCGGCGAGGGACTGATTTGTAATGTGTAGTGATACTCGGGTCTAATGTTCCTTGGAGATGTGAAAAATTGAGCCGTTTGTGCCGCAAATTTTCGAAATTCACAATGGAATCAAAACCTTTTTCTTTCTTTTGCTCTTTTTCCATTTTAGGGTAAAAAGATAAAGTGTTAGAGACATAGGCTTCGGGGATTCTGACCTGATGAACTAGGTAGAATTCAGAAAGTGGAAGTAATATGTGTCTGTATGATTGTCCGCGTATTTCTAGCAATTTAGATTTCTTTCTCAACGATTCTTTCTTTTACCTCCTATTTATTATAGGGTACCTACACCGTAACCTTCATCAAAATCGGTCGAGTAGGCTTGAAGATATAAACCAATAAGTTTGATGACAAATGATTAGTTAATATATAAAACTATACCTACATCTTGGAAGATGATATTATAACTAATTACTTTTATTAAGCTTTTTTTAGGTACTTACCTTACTATCTATGAACTTAGTATATTGAAAATCGGCATTGATATTTGTATGATAAAATTTTCACATTAGTGGTCATAAGATTTTCAATTTGCTGAATTAATACAGCATTATTATATCCGAATTTACCGACCAGTCAAGTGTTGACGTATACGTGTTAACGTCATGACTGTGCAAAATAAAATAATTTTCTAGCATAGGTGTAACAAAACAAAAAACAAGCACCGGTCTTAAATTATTCTCTGCCCACGAAAATCTCGCTAGACGCTTGAGGGTTATTTGTTTTATTTATATTTAAATTATTTTATGAATTAAATCGTGCACATTTTTGCGCCTTGGTTATTTCCATCCGCTCCTTGACACAATCACATTTTTATTTCAAATGAAGTTTCATCCTTAACCCACATATTTCATATTATACAAGATATTTTATAAGTAAATATCACGAGTGACGCGAAAATTGCAATGACAGTGATCTAAAAATAAGGGCGACGCGGTGCGCCTTCTAGCGTTGACTTCGTGCTTACGGCAGTCGAGATCCGACCGTCGCGAGTTTCAGTCGAACGAATAATCAAAAGTAGCAGCCATGGTGTACGAAAGTGACTTCTACACGACCCGCCGCCCGTACAGGCCGACCAGCTACAGCAGCGTCACGGTGAGTGCCGCCGCCGCCCTTCTAACCTACTGCGCGTCGCTCCTCGCTCCACACCTCCCGGGAGCCGGACGGCCCTCGCACCAGCTCGACCCTCGATCGCGTCCTTCGTCATCTATCGTTCGGGTTTTACCTAGTGACCTAGTGTTCATTCAGTGATAGCAAAAAGGAAAAGTGGTATGATGAATCGATGTCTTCTCAAGTGTTAACAACTTGACTCGTTTTTATTTTTCGCTTGTAAACATCATTGCTTGTATTAAGTTATCATTTCCTGAAACGGATTCTCCTAATTCCGATTCGTTAGAATATTGTAGGCGAGATGTAGTATTCCGCAAGTGGGTCATCTCGTATCGAGAAACTGAGTCGGAAAGCGGAGCTATCGAGCGAGCCAAATATAGCCGCGGCTGGAGTCGCGCCGCCCGACTAACGGCGACTTCTCCGCTTGCAGCGACGACCCGGTGACTGGGAGAAGGTGCCGTTCGTGCCTCGGCCGAGCCTCGTACCGGACCCGGTGACTGCGTTTGGACGACGCACGCGGCCAGGCGAGCGCCCGCGCATCCTTGAACCTGTCACCAGGCAGAACATTCAGCCGATGGCGGAATACAAACTGGCGCCACTAGCGCCGTATGTGTCGCCACGGGACCAGACGCGGGAGAGGGTGCTAGCAACGGTGGGACAGCGCGAGCGCTCTTACGCTGCGGACCCGTTGGGCACACCGCGCGATCATATGGACGTGGTATTGGCGCACGCGCACGGCCGTCCCGTTCATGCGCCACATCGCCAAGTCTTTTACAGCAATTATGCATCATATTGAACGCCGGAGGTCGTTTTTCGTGTGTCGCTTTCGCTAGTTAGCTAGTCGGTCGAGTCGGTGCGAGGGTGGGCGGTGAGAGAAGGTCGGTGGTGGCTAAGGGCGCGGTTGTTGCAGACGCCGCGGCATTACGTGGTGGTGGACCGCGAACCGCTGCCTCGACGCGCCGAGGAACAGTACTCGTACTCGTACTCGAGCACGTCAGAGCGGCAGTCGGGCAGCGGACTGCCTCAGCGCAGCACATACAGCAACACGGTGGAACGACGCACCGGCAGCGGCCCAGGAGGCTACTCCTACACCAGCGAGCGATCCAGCAACCTGGGCGGCCCCGGTGGTTACTCCTACTCATCCACCTCGAGCGGCCGCCTGCCCTACGGCACGACCTACCGTCATTACTCATACCGCGTGTAGCGCCCGGCTCCCGACCTACCTCGCATCCTTTTCTCACCCCTCCCTAACTCCTCGATGCATCTCCTGCTTCCTTAACTTTATATGTACCTAATCAGTATTCGCTAAAACCAAATCGATCAGTCTACTATTCGTTGTAAAGAAGTAGATATGAATCAAAATAAGAATATAAATTTGCCTAATGTTTTTTGGTGATAATTTATTTTGTAATATTTATTTTAAAATGTAACTTAGACTGAATTTTTAATAAAGCTTGCGTTTTCTAATAAATTCTCTTTTCCTTTATATTGACGTTGTGGAATTCCTATCCAAACCAAAGGCCAAAAATGACTCGACCTTTTACTAACACATTGTTTGTTGTTTCCTGTCAATAATACCTGTTTGTATTTTTTTTGTCTTATCTATTACATATCTTTACTTGGTCGAAATTTGACTGTCCTAAAATTGGTGTAGAAACAATTGAAAATTTACTTTCACCTAGCAAATCGGCTTTTTCAAAATAAAACACTGAAAAGGTCACTGTGCTGATTTTAAAGTACGGTAGTTGTTACTATCCATCTCTGTGAATATAGAATACCTCTTTTTAACCGATTTCAAAATCGAAAAGGACGAAGTTCTATAGTCAACGAGTATGTATTTTTTTTTATGTCTGTTATACAGAGCCATACACAAAATTACTATTAGAAAGGTTATGGACAATTATATCTTATTCGGATTAGCAGTTTTATTTTTATATCAAAAGCACTTAAAAGACATTCTTATTTATATAATCAAAGAAAACATATATCACGTAACTACATAGGTATTTTGTTTATCTTTTAATTGTAATTATAAAAAAGATGTAGGTAGGTGGAGTTGTTCCAAAACTTTGATGTAGTGGTTTCATAATAGTAGCATTATTTTGTGTTTTGTTTTGGAACTAGCTTAAACAGGATCTAAAAAGATTATACCATGATTACACCATGCACCTTACAACAATGCAATGCTTGGTAATGTAGGTATTATATTATTATAACATTATCAAGGAGAATAATTCAATATCTATAAACAAGTAATAGGTTAACAGCCTGTTGCACAAACGTCTATTAAAATTGGCATTAGTTTAAAGCGACGTTATAGAAATTGGACATTCATTAGCGCTTAAAGGAGTCATTAATCTTTAATGGACGTTTGTGTAACTGACCGTAAGTTGATGATATTAATAAATAAAGGTAGGTTAGGTTATGATTTTTAAAAAATATTACAAACTTCTGCTGTAGGTACAGCGACGTTGTGGAAAGAGAGACATTTTTTGCGTTAAAAAACCCTATTTCAGCACTCGACAGTCAGATCATAAATTTAATATTAGAGGCACGTCAGATTAACACATCAAATAAAATTATTTACAATTGATTTACGACTCTAATCTCAAACAACACAAGATTAAAAATCAAGCAAATAAATTTGACAAATTAAATTAGTATAACGTGCTGTTGAATGTACTTAGGTACTAAATAAATAGGTATGTAGATTCTTCTTTAAAATTAAAATAGATAACATACAGAATTTATATGTTATAGTGGGTCTAGTTTTAAATTGTAAAGAGGCTTATCTATGCTATATAGGTAAAATTGTTTAAGGTACTATTCTATAACAAGAACAGCTTCAAAGTATTGTCAGTAAGAAGCATTGAATAGGCCAAGAGCTTTCTGAAAATAACAACCAATTGTACATTTCTTGCAATTATAAGCAAGTCCTATGCAGTTTTATATTAAAACTAATGATGAAACTTGTTGCCGTCGGCAGCCGCTGTCGTCGTTGTATTACCTGAGCTCGTTACTGCCGTACTATCACGTGCCCTACATCACGTACATTCCCAGCTTATCACAGGTGAGTATGGCTGATGGATCTCGTCTCCATAGAAATGCGCTTACACTATACTTACTTATATAGAAATTCTAAAATTTGTTTCTATTTGACTACATATTTTTTGCCGAGAAGCGAAATTCTATGCTGACGCAAATCCTTGAAGCAGCTGTAAATTATGAAGGAGCAAATCACAGTGATCAAAACAGCTGTAAATAGCCCGTCGACTGCACCGCAACGCAGTAAACGCACGCACGGCATAATAAAAATTCATCTGATTTCGTCAAACATATCATTAAGAAAATGTATATATTTTCATACCAGCCATTATAGCATCTAATTAAAAAAACACAATTCAATTATTTTGAATAGAAACATCAGCTCTCACGCCTAGCTCCAAGAAAGTGTGAACATCAGTAAGTAATGTTTAACTAAAAAGAAACAATTACAAATCAAGGTAACAAAACAAAAAGTCAAAATTATTATCTTTTCCTCATTACGCTAGTGGCATATTGTGTCGATTTATTGACAGCCCTTTTAAACTGGAACAAAAGCCCAATGAGGGATCAACTCAGATTATTATAAGCCTTTTTGTGTCTATGAATTAATTAAACACATATGGAGATTGAAGTATGTCCGTTCGCAAGACCATTGCAATTTGGTGGATTATTGATTAACATCCAAAGTTATATTAGTTGCTACCTTTAACATTCACCAGATAAACATAATATTAGTTGTGGTCTAAATAAGGAACATTAAGTATATGATCAATATTGCATTCAAAATTCACCAGTTCCAGATGACTGCCCGAATTTAGACCAAATCTTTCATATCGCACAAACTGCTACCTATTTTGTAGGTAATCAAGAAGATCTGAACCGACAGAGGAGAGTAACGTAAAAATTAAGCTTCTGCAGAAAAATGTTGCAATTAAAACTGCCAAACAACTTTACGAAATGAAATGAAATGAAAATATCTTTATTCAAGTAGGCTATTACAAGCACTTTTGAATCGTCCAAAAAACTTTTTTCCCCTACCACTTGTTCAGGACGTCTTTTAGCTGACAAGAAGAACAAGTGAAAGAAACTTACCAACTTTTTATCATAAGTTATGAAATGACATTTACACAAATCATGTCATTACCAAAATAATATGTATTATCACAATAGTAAATACAATTTTCAAAGTCTGTAGGACATAGGTTGAACATATAATTAGAACAAAGCGAAGGCTATTAATTCCATGCATTGCGATCCTTAAAATAATCATCAACTTTATAATAGCCTTTACTCATAAGTATATTCTTTACATGAATTTGAAATTTATTTATGGGTATTCTACACTAGAACACTAGAAGGAGGGTTAGCAGGGGTTATCATCAATACCCTTAATTGGTATCGGGAAAATAATTATGTTCTTACACTTTACAGCTAAAAACACAAAATTATATAAGTGAAGAGATAGAAATTCAAAATATTCATTACAAAAAATATCTAATTAAATGTGGATCTGGCAAATAGCATAAACTAACTGCAGATTGTGTGAAACATGAAAACGGTTCGCAAATAACAATTTTTCGTCATTTCAACATCCGCTTTGAAATTGGCTACACATCTGAGTATTTTTCTCGTATTTGCTGTAAGCAATTGAAAGAAAAGGAGTATTCTTCAAATAGAATTCATTCCTACGCAAACTATTTGTTTGAGTACTATTCTTTGAGTTTTTGAAAATTGAATCATAACACAAGTAAATAAAAAGAGTAGGTAACAAATATTTCTATACATTTATAATATGTATGTATATGCAAAAATTGTAATGACGCAATTTGAGTACGGCACTCATAAACGTTTACATAGACTTCATAAATAACTAGCTAACAACGTACTTGTAAACAAAACCTTGAAATTTATTTAGCTAACACACTCCGGCCGGGCGCTGAAATCCCTCGAGAAAACAAATACTGGAAACAGATCAAGGGAAAAAGGAATTTTGGCAGCTGTAATAAAGGCCACATCCGTAGCAGTAACGTGTATCTCATCTTTATAAGCGTTCGACAAATATAACTATTAAAAAAAATACAAAGCGAATTGCGTATTCAGACCAAAGACTTGAATGTTCTCTTTTTCATTCAAACGTATTGATAAATATGTGACTAGTTATTATTATATCATAAATGAAAAATTAATCAACACACCATTATGAATAAAACGTGAAACCCCGTATTAGCATAACATCCTGGCTCTAAGAATTAATTATTTAGCAACTTTTAGTTTTGTAGTAAACATTTTTTGAATGAGTTTTTCAAGAACTTTACATAAATATGGTTGCAGCAGAAATACTTGGGTCAAATTTTCAAGTCAAATGGTGCTTCACTCATCAATTGAAACGTATCATATCAGTACTGTTATATTTTAATTAAGCCACTTTTATTTAATTAATTAATTATAAATATATATCTAAATACTTTCAACTTTTGTAATCCCACACCATTATTCAGTAATTATTATTAGGCATCTTTATCGTACTGCGCAACCAGTAGTGGCTAATTTTACACCACACTCCCGATGACTCACGCCCGCCTCATTGATATGAGCAATAAGGTCTGCTCCAGAAATAAAACTCGACGAAGATGAAGTATAAAACTAATAAAATATATTTTTCTGGATATAATTTAAATGATTAAAAAAATATCAATTAATATAGGTATTGATCGATTGATGTAAACACAATGAGTAGAGATAAAACGATTTACATTTCTTCAATTATACACTGTCTACAACCATCAACCAGACAATACTGTGTGGCAAAAGCCAAGAATAAAAAAGCAACTATTTTAATATTACTTATAATGCTGTAGCAATACTCTAATCAGTCAACGAAAATGATACCTTTTCGTACGTTGCGGCGTTTGGTATTATATTAATCAAAAATATTATTTGCAAGAATCTGCAGATATAGCTGTGCCCGCGACTTCGTCCGCGTGGGAAAATATATTAGGATAATTCTTTCTTTTCTATGGATGGAATTGAATCGAATAGGATCAATAGGCCATAACCCACTTCGATAGCCCAATGCAAATCGGTGGGTGTTAACGACTGCTGATGCAGCTAGGACCAGGCTTCATTTTTATGCCGAAGAATGGTGGAGCTCAAGATAATAATAATCTAGTTTTCCATCCAGTGCTAGGTTGCCTGGAAGAACTCGCCATCGGACCTTTTATAATCTATACTATTATATAATAAAGAGAAAAGATTAGATTGTTTGTTTGTAGTGAATTGTTTCCGAAACCACTGAACATTATACTCGGGTTTCATGGGTTATAATTTACGCGGCTTGTTTACAGCTAGTCCATTATATAGTGACAAGTTATTTGATGTATGCGTGTGGGAAACAGGCAGGGTGAAGGGTTGAAGATAATCGAAACCACTTTCATGTTCTCTATACTGGAAAGCTCTTTAAATCCTCGAGCGTTTTTCTCTATCAAAGGAAGTTCCAGACCAATACCATACTGCATATGTGTTATGATTAGCAGTTAGACAGTGTTAAGCTGTCTTCAGGAATTTCCTGAGATCAAACACTCGCTGTAAGAATTTTATTAGCTCGAGATATTTTCCCTGACACTGAATGCTTCAAATTCAACTTGATAGTGCGTGAGCCTTGCGATCGGCAGTTAAATATTTCTTATGACCGAAAGCTTTCTGTCTGAACTCTCTTAGAGTTCAAGTGAGTGTCTTTGCCAATAAGTCTTAGGGTCGGTGCGTGTCTAACGGAAGATACGTTGCGTCTCATTTGTCGCGAAACGACAGACATCTATAAAAATAAATGATATTAGATTCCAACTTGCATACTCGACGGAAATCATGTACTGACATATCGCACCCCCGGTGCGACACTGTCACTTTTGCAAAAAATACAAAAATTAGTGAAATATGTAATAATTGTCCTAAAGCCCCCTTTACTTGATGCGATAATGCTCCTTTTGTAGGGACTATGACTACGGAACTATGTTCCGTATGATTCATCTCATCTGTATCTTCTAAAGTCATTGTTTTGTGAGGTGGCAGAGTTTAAAACTCTTCTCCTGAAAAACTAATTTTTTGCATAAGTGACAGTGTCGCACCGGGAGTGCGATATACATCCGTCAGGTGCCTGACTGAGCTCCGTCCGTCAGATTTGCACTGACCCTCAGACTGATTGACCTGAGTGACCGGTGAGTAAACCTGTATCTCTTGTGTAGTGAAGACTGCAAATACCAACTTCAAAGTAAAGCAATTTTAGTATAAAAAAATACAAAAAGAGTAACATAAGACTATTAAGAGGAAAATAAATGATCTTCACTCAACAACAAACATTGGGCTGACTCCGATTTAGGGTGAAATTTTTAGCATAAATATTTTATTTTTGTTAGTATACTGTGTGTTCTAAGTCGACTTTCAATGAGAAATTTTGATCTACCGTTTGGGAGGTAACTAAATAAAGAATACCAATAGAAAATGTAACGTGCATGAACTTTCTATTTCAGTCATAATTTCAGACTCTCAAGCATGCCATTTGCCTGTGCCTTACCTATCATATTTATTTATATCTATTTATTCTTCGTTGCTAAAATACTTCATGAAATATGTTCCATAAATTGCTTTACGTTTTTATACATACTCTATTAAGGTTTAAGTATTTACGACTACTGACCGATTACAGGCTGAATTGATTTATCGACCGACCACTCGCACAGTCACTCGACTCGTCACATACCCGGAGGTTCCCCATCACATAGTACGGGTGCGTGTGCGTCCGTCGGTGGTGCTACGTGAGCTTGATCGCATCGCCTACCGTCGTCGTCCAGCACTCGCTGTATCTGCTGTCGATGACTTCTTCAGGGCAGAGACCACGAAGGTAAAAGCTTTATCAATTTTCAAAATTACAAAATTTTGGAAAAATATTTCCTGATAATAAGTACTGCTCGCCTGTACAGACTGTTTTTAAAACAAGAGCCCGCCAGTTGTGACCTTGTATGGGAAGGTCTACTGAAACACAAGGTATTTCAGGATTTTTGTATACAAATGACGATCTGCAAACAATAAGAGTAAATACGAACTAGTATTTCAAGACATTCTGCTATCTTTTTAGTTAGAAGTAGGTGAATTCAATAAAGTGATCGTCGTTGATATATTCTTCATTTATAATCTCCAAATAATGGTCGAGGTTAATATAATATCAATTTTTATCTTCTGATTTGTAGGCTTTCGAAGATGAGAGCCGTCGCATCCGCGCCGACACTGCCTCCCTACTGCAACGCGCACGCTCAGTACTACCCCGGGCGAAAAGTATGGCTCCCAGAGAAACAATATACTCGTAAGTATGGACACAAATGCTCTACATGATAGGTACCTAGATACGAGTATATGGCCGAGTAGCTTGTACGCTCTTAAGGTGTCACCATCTTCTGAGATCCTAGTTTTTATTTCGGGTAGGGTCAATATAGAAATTGGACTTTTCTATATTGTCTGGAGTCTGGTTGTTACAAGGAACATTTCTTAGGCTGTTGTGATACCTTGGTTGTTTCAGATTTTCATAATACAAGGGAGATAGCTATTTAATTTGGATTGGGAGATATTTTCATCATCAGCTCTTTTACGTCCCCAATTCTCTCAGGCCTTCATTATGGATGATGGAGCATGACCCTTCACGCTGGCCTAATGCAGTTTGAAGAGCATTAACGACTGCAAATGCTGCCGGGACCAACGGCTTAACGTGCCTTCTGAAGCACAGAGGGCAGTGATGATAATTTTTTGGTCACACATCCCGTAACCAACTCTTGCGAAAGTTGCTTATCAACAATGATCGCGGGCTGCGGCTGCTTATCCACTACGCAACCGAGCTAGTCAAGTATTTATTTATAAATAATGTACGCACTTTTCATCTCAATCCAGCCCGGAAAATCTACTGTAGGCTGAAGAGCTTGAGCATGCCCATAAGAGCCTGCTCAATAGTTAACATTAACTCCAAGACAATAACAGATGACAATGTACGAATATATCTTGCTCATTGACATTTCGCTCATTAGGGCTAGGTCAAGTTTTCATCAGGTTGATGTAACCGTATAAAAATAGTTACGCCATTGATGTGAATCAACCAACTGCTTGGCACTGACATTGGTGGCACATCCCTCTCAATTGATCTCTAGCAATTTGGCAATGATGAGCTTTTGTCAGATAACACACACAGGTACCTACTTGCAATGTATACAACGAAAGTATTTATAAAACTTTTTTCTGCTTGAACATCATATTTGTTTGACAACACCACTTGTGGGTGTCAATTTCCCAGTCGTATTTCGCGTTCGCATGTTTTGTACATGACGTTAACACAAAGTGATCATGGATATAATTATAATCTGGTTAAATGCCAGCTGGTGTTTGTTTGAAAATTTTTAACGATTCCAATTTCGTCTTGCAGCCTCCAATGTTTTAATGGCAAGCGTTTGAGGTGCAATTAAATTTGACTAACGTTTCTATGAAGACTCTATGACATCACCTCAAGAAAATCTCATGGTTTGTTGACAGCTATTCTTACGGGGAGCCTATTCCATACCGATTCAGCAATGATGCGTACATCGCCAGATTATTATTGCCACTTCGCAGCGTGTATGACAACATTCACAATATATCCTACTACAGTGAACCCGCTAAGAAGTTTACCGGTATGTAAGCAATGAAACATAAAAAAGCTGTAACTTCAATATAATTTATTTAGTCTTTACGCTACTCCTGTAACGAGCTCCCATGGAAGTCGAAAAACTATGCCAATGATTCGTAAATTTACTCAAATAGACACGAACAAATATTTCAACTTTTTCAACAAATGATGCAGACAACATTGTCACACTTTATTGTAAGATTCTGACAGTACATAGTGGTGGTGAAGTTGATTAGTTCTATATAACGCATCCGAGATTTTACCTTGTCCGACTAACATTCAAGTTCCAGTATGAGCCCGTAGTAACAATGAGGTGTCTTCATCAGGACGTGGTCACCTCGCGTGCGTGCACTACTCCGGTAAAAAGGCCTTCTCCAATCGCTTACCCCTCTACAAGGAAATGAGCATCAGGGATGACGTTAATCTGCTTTCGTTTTACGCGAAGAACAGGCTCGCCGCCGCCGGGCTGGCCGTCCAGCAGGCCACAGGTATCACGTCACCGTCGCATCGCTAGCGCCCGCTTTGATCCTTCGCTTAATTCTCTTTAAAAGAAAAGTTAAACTAGAAAAATGATCGCTAGCTAAGTGTACGCCTTGGCAAATTGTCAGGGTTTTAAAACAGTTTTTAAAATGGAGTATAAAGTCCGTGTCTAACACTGTGTGTGGTGTCTCTTGCAGCGGGCGGCGCGCCGGAACAGCCGACGGCGGCGCAGTGCGCGTAGCTTCGCCCCCGCTCGGCAGCGACGCGGCGCGGGCGTACGGTAGGTATCGCCTACCTGCGCCCGCGCCGCGTTCGCCCTTCGCGCTCTCTGATCTCGGTATAACATGCTCCCACTAACCAAGATCATAATTATATTTTTATAATCTAATTTTACAAGAGGACTATATTTTTGTTATCTCTTTTAATGACTTACGACATACGATTTAAATTATTACTTTCTAGTCATCGCTGTGATAACGTGGTTATCTACGTCATATATAAGTCGGTGACCGAGACGTCTCGTTTTCACTTAACAGGACTGATTTTATTTAACATTAAACGATTTTTACCGAACTATTAGTTGTTTTAATTTGCATGATAGTGATCCTGTGTCATGCTTTATTCCATATGCTTAATATAACGCTTTGCTTAAGAATTAATAATCGATTTTATAGAACTTTACTTACATAATATACTTAGAGAATTAAACTACTTTAAGGTAACATAATTACACTTTTAATACACTGGGAACGTGTCCAATTTCCAAATCCTATTTGTATAAACCCCTCAAAGCAAACCTACATACTTTCATAGCATTCAAATTGACACTTCTAGGTACATAGTCGCATAAAGTGGATTATACCAACATTAAAGCAGAAGCTTCAATAATTATGTTACATTTTCACATTTTTCAATAGCTAAACTAGCATTACAGCATGAGCAAGCAGCACAAATTATATGATTAAATACCACAGCGACGTCCATATGGTTTAAGCTTTATCATCAAGCTTTAGGGGCCCTCAACTGCTTAGCAATGACCATTATGGTCCGTGCAAGCTGCTGCGAAGCTTATTATTCCCAAAAAGGACCATTGAGATAGATCGATAAGAAATTATTAGTAATTCCAATATACATATAAAGTAACCAGGATACAGCTGATCATTTCACCAATGGTCATCACGAATTAGACAATGGGTAAAATTGGCCTCGGTGCAGTCAAACTGCTTCCGTGGAGGCCCAGCCGCAAGTTCCAGGCACCGAAAGCCATGGAAGACCCTGGCCTGGAGCTCAAAGCGGCGAAGGCTGAACGCGAAGCAAGGTTCCGGGCAACCACTGCAGAGCCTGTAATGACTCCAGCCGCCGATTTAGCTGAAATCAAGAGGAAAAGGCAAGAAGAAGCACGCGCTGCTGAAGAGAAGTAAAAACTTAATATCATATGTAATGTTATAAACCTTTGATTTAATTTCAAAACCTATAACTATGACTTGTTGTTTTCAGAGCATTAAAAGAAGAAGCTAAGCGTGAGGCAGAACGTAAAGCACAGGTTATTTAAAAAATACTCTTTGTATAATAAATAGTAACTGTAAAAGGTAGACCAGAGTTAAACTAATTAGAAAATATTTACCATAATGATTGTAGGCTGAACGTGAAGCGGCTGAAAGGAAGAGAGCAGAAGAAGAAGCCCGTAAAGCTGAAGAAGCCAAACGTAAGGCCGATGAAGAAGCAAGAAAAGCTGAAGAAGAAGCACGTAAGGCTGAAGAGGCACGCCTGGCGGAGGAAGCCCGTTTGGCCGAAGAAGCCAGGTTGGCCGAAGAAACTAGGTTGGCTGAAGAAGCTCGTTTAGCCGAAGAGGCGAGGTTAGCTGAAGAAGCCAAGTTAGCCGAAGAAGCCAGATTGGCTGAAGAAGCTAGATTAGCTGAAGAAGCTAGGTTGGCTGAAGAAGCCAGGGTAGAAGAAGAAGCGAGGTTAGCCGAAGAAGCGAGGTTGGCAGAGGAAGCTAGGCTAGAAGAGGAAAAACAAGCTGAACAAAGACGGCAAGAAGAGCTCGCTCGATTGGAAGAACTGGAAAAACAAGCCCAGGAAGAACGCGAAGCAGAACTTGCACGACAGGTATATGCTCGTATTATTTGAAACGTAATGACATTTTCGAAGTATATAACTTTCATTATTTAATTTGGATAAAACCAAAACTTAATTTATATATGAATAAACAGGCTGCTGAATTGGCTGAAATCGCAAGACAAGAATCTGAGTTGGCTGCCACCCGTTTGGAAGAGCTTTCGAGGAGCGGGTCTGCCGCCGATAATGTTGCCGAACCCGATGCCAGGTAATTCTTTGCTAAGAATGATTATATAGTAAAGATATACAATTTCTATTACTAAACATTAATTTAGTATTAACAACTATTATTACTATTTCTAATACAGTGAAACCGCGGTTGATGAGCCTGAACCTGTAGTGGAAGAACCAGAGACTCCTGAAGCAGCACCCGCTGAGGACGCTGCAGTTGACCAGGCAGAAGTTAGCGAAGACGAGCAAGCAGAGCCTGACGTCACTGACGAAGAATAATTTATTAATTCTTAGAATATGTAAAAGTACTTAATGCATTTTTAACTTACTGAAAAGTTTTGATTCCGCTATTCGCCATTCAAATAGTTTAATTACGTAGATTAAACTGTGAATGTCGTGATAGCAATAGTTTCAGATAGTACGACTTTGTCTCCATCTACAATACACTGCCTTTCTTCTGCATAATGACATTATGCAAATGCGAAAGTGCAAAAACCTACTTATTTTGATCATATGACTCAAAATACTTATTATTTAAAAATTAAATAAAAATAAGTATACTAGAATAAGTGTTTTATAATGTTATTTTTTGTTAAATTATAACAATAAAAGACAATAACAAAAAAAAAAAATAATTTGTTTCCAGTCATATAAAGTAAGAGAGAGTATAAAGACGGAGACACGTTATTGCGTTGTTGTTGTGACGTGAAGCATATCTATTTCATACATTAGAATGGGTGCTTTTTCATTCGCATGGACGTTGACGTCCACGATTTGACATTACCTTCGCTGTGCAACTCTGTGGACGTGATAGAGTGGGGACAAGAAAAGCAAAAATTAAAGTACAGGTTGGCTGCACGTAATGCTACCATAAGTTCCGCATGTTATCTAATACTCCTACTTTCAATATATTAAGGTTTAAAATCAAATGTAGCAAATTGATAGTTTTGTATTGGCTGACCTATCTGTATATCGACGCTGGAAAGCAAACACGTAGTAACCCGCAAAACCAAAAGTGTTCTTCAGAGCAGAAGAACTTTTATTTCTTTTCGATAAATAATTCCTATAAATGTCCATGGTAACAAATATGGTGTTCCTTAGTCAATTGAAACAGAAATAAGATTTTCTTTTTTGGAAAAATATGAAGATTTTCCACTCCAAATGTCCATTTTGGTTTTGCGGGTTACTACGTGTTTGCTTTCCAGCGTCGATATATAGAATTTCCTTAGTCACGCACAGCGTCATAAAGATATCGTGAACATTTCAAAGAATAGGAAAACTTAAAAATGTACTTCCCCGTGGTATCATCGTACTGGGAAGGCTAGAGACACATTTACATTTGTATGTTTCTTTCTTAGATTATATAATAGTTTCATTGTAATGTATGAAACATCAGGCAACAGCAACAAAGACACATAAATGTGCTTCCGCCTTAAAACCTATAAATATAAAAATCACCAGATAATTGTATATACAAGAGAAGAAAAAATATTTTTTGTTAAAATCAAACTTTGTTGTATATTATTTTAGATCAGTGATTACAAGATACGAGATCTTGTATAGATATATCAAATGTGTCCAACAGGGTTGCAATGCTTAATTAAAAAGTTCCCATGGCCGCTTTTCAGTTAAACCATTACACTTATTGTCTCAGATAAAAACTTCTCAACAATAACAAATTAGTCCAATGATTTAGTTAGTTCTTTCAATTACATAGGTCTTATGGCTAATGGGTCTTTAGCTTGCAAGATTTCAAGTAAGATGTCTTGTATAGAGATAGATAAATAGATACACCTAATTATGGAGATGTTTATGAGGGTGTCTTGACACTAGGGTGTAATAGTTACTAAGCCTTTTACATATTTAACCAAGTGCACTTAGGATTGCAAATTAAAAACAATAAAAACTATAGAGAAGAAAGATTTATTCGTTTGTTGGTTTGCATTAAATATGCTCCGAAAGTAATGGACCGACATCATAAACTGGTGATTAAACCTATAATTTACATAAGCAAAATCGCAGGAAACTTAAAATAAAATATTACTGGCAGTTATTTTTTTTTTATTTGTAATGGTAACTTTTAGTTTATTTGTATCGCAAATTCATTTGTTTATATTTTCTCGTTATGGAAGAAACGAAACAATTACGTGCACAAAAAACCGATGCAGATTTTCCGCGAGTTGACAAGTTTTCCTGTAAGCCGTAACTTCGTCTGTTACATAATACAGCGGAACAAAGAGATAAATTTCCTGCAAGACCACCAAAGGAGTGGTCGACCTCGCTCTGTGAGGACGCCTGCGAAATCAAAATCATCCGAGAGCGACTACTCCGAAATCCATGTCGCACTCGGAAGAAAACGGAAGAAGGAACGGAAGAAAAGAACTCGCTCTGCGGACTAATTTGAATACGAAAAAAAGTATAGCCGTAGAAAGGTTCACTTTTTCATGGCTGCTGAGGAGATATGGTGCCAGGAAGATACTCTTCACCGACGAGAAAATTTTGACTGTCGAAGAAAAGAAAAACCGTCTAAACTTCTGCGCGGAATGTCTCGCGCACGAATCGTCCGGCTAGTGTGATGGTATGGTGGGGAGTTTAGTATGAAGGTGTCACTCCGCTCCATTCCTGCCAACAAGGTGTCAAGGCGAAAGCCAAGAATTATCATAGTAACATTTTGGAGTTCATGGTGAAACCCCTGTTTGATACGTTATTTCACAATAAGGATTTAGTTTTCAGCAAGACTCGGCGCCATCCCGTGGGGCAAAAAGCACCCAAGCTTTGTTGAGGGAGAATGTACCTTGTGAGCATGTGCCTTCATCGAGGCGGACTAGTAGCCCTCTTTCTGCCCCGACCTCAACCCGCTGGATTAGTCTTTGTGGACTGAATTAGAGTTCAGGGCCTGCCGAGTGTCCCACCCAAACTTGGGAGTTACTGAAGCGAACCCTTATTCGGGAAGCAAAACGAATTCCGCTAGTAAAGATTCGTGCCGCCATTGATGACTGGCCAAATCGTCTAAGGGCCTGTATCAAAAACAATAATAAATCACTAATGAGTACGCGGTTCATTACCTTTCTTTCAGTATAGCTCGTGGTTTCAAATATCCAACTTTTATGTGTACCCAGCTTTTTTCAAATGCGCTAAAACTGTTTTGTGGTCAATCGCCAGTTCTTCAGCTACGTCGTCACTACTGTGACGGGTTCGATTCTTAGGCAAATGAATAAAAGGCTGACTAAGCTTGAGAGCTTGATTTAATAAAGGGTAAAAAAAAAACTTTTCTTCGGGTTTGGTGAGTAACTTTATTTGAGTTCAAACTCGTGAGCGTAACTGAAACAGGAAATTATAAATAGATTTTAATTTTTTTTTACAACAAATAGCTATCGATTAAAATGAAGTCAGTATGTATAATGTTTCTAACTCGGCGAATTTTCACAAACTGACATTGATAATTGGATTACTCAAAATTTCAAATTACGAAAAGTGAACAATAAAAAATAAATGATGTTGAAGATCAAAGACAAAAAGTTTGCATGCAGCAACCTAGGACGAAATAAACGGTGGTACGACGCACCGTTAGGGCGCTTATGCACTACACTGAATTTTCAGGTACGGCGGTCCGATTTGTCAGGCCATATGCTAGCCTATGCACTGTCAGGAATATAACGGTCCGGATTTTTAATTTTCTCTAATTCGGTCCTTGATGGCGGCAATGAAAACGTGTTTACGCTTGTGCACTGCTGTGTCCGCGATCCGGAAAATTCATGAGCCTGCGGCTAAGGGCGCTTGTGCAATACACTGAATTTTCAGGTCCGGCGGTCCGATTTTTTCCGGTCCGAAATGACATGAAAAACCCGGATGAGTGGCTTCTGCACTTGTCCGTTTTTTCCTGATCGGAGCGGTGCTTTGTAAGTACGATGAGATTTTTGGAACGTCGGTAATTGCTTGCTTTGTAATTGTACGTGCGAAGACGTAGAAGACAGCAGAAAAAATTAGGTTCATATTGTTCAGCAATGCAATTTCTTTAATCTAAACTTAAAGCAATATTTTAATGTTGATTTAAAGCCTGCGCAAAGTTCTTTGACCAAAATAATAGCGCGACTTAAGAATATACATGGCATCAACTGGCTGATAAGTTATTCTAGGTAAATTTTGTAAGCAAAAAAATCTGTGATTTAGAAATCATTTAACGCCATCCAGTGTAGTTCATACATATAATATATTTTTTTCTTTCGTAAACAAAATAACTTAAATGTGAACATTTTTATCCATTAAAAATTCCATCAAAAATAGAATATTTACTCAAATACCAATTTTCATCGCTATACAGTAAAACATTTTGTAAATAATATTAGGTAAGTTTTTTCCAATGACAAATCAGATTGTAAACAATGATTGTTATGGTAACATTTTTATTCCCCATAAAATCTTTCACTCCCATTTTGATCCCTTTAAGTGCTAGTTTTTGGGATAAAATATAACCTACTACCTTTGTAGGGTCATAAACTACCCAAATACCAATTTTCATCGACATCGGTCCATTAAGTTTCATACAAACTATTTCACCCTTTTTGACCCCTCGGGCTGGAATTTCCAAAATTCCGTTCTTAGTACACCTCTACATATTAAGGGGAATGTTCCCTCCAAATTTCAAGTTTCTACGACCAGCGGTTTAGGCTGTGCGTAGTCTGTCAGTCAGTCAAGACATCTCCTTTTATATATGTATAGATATACGTCATTGCTGATATACCGATCTTGCTCCACTTTTTCAAAAATGGCATCCATTTTACCCGTAATAGGGCGACCGGAACGACGTGTATCTTTGTCTTAACGCTTAAACCAAATTTGTGCTGCTCCACAGAAACTGCACTAGGTCCATAAGCGGCATGAATGTTTTCGCGGCTTGGTTGCATTTTTACTATTTTTTGTAATAAACTTTTAAAATTTAGCGAATTTCTTCATTAGATTCACTTATTTTGACAGTACAAAAAACTAATGACAATTACAAATTTTTCAGAGTTATCTTCTTTAAATTTTAAACTTTTTAATGATACTGAAACCAGCCAAATACAAATGGTATAGCCAGGAAGATTTCATTACAAGTTTATACATATTATATGCGAAAAGACTTTTCCTCAACCTAATAAATGTCGACGCAAGGTTAAAACAGCCGTTCAATTGGGCGGCTAGTCATTGAATTGAATGGCGCCGTTCAATTGGACGCTTACTTTTCTAATTGAATCAGTATGATAGTTAATTTGTTGGCTGACCTTTGCTCAGCCGAATTGTTGAACTTTGCGTTCAGGTACTCGGCTGATCGAAGGTCAACCCGTTAATTCAATTAAAGGGCTTGCTGCCCAAAATAGGTCGCAATGTAAATGATCATTGATCGCCTGCAAAATATGCAAAGAAATCGTCCGTCCTAAGCATGCGGGCACTATCGACTAATGTAAATGAACTTGTGCTAATCGGTAAACCAATGAGAGTCAATGACCGTCTAATGAAAATAGCACAGAAATCACCGCACTTCGTATGCGGGTCCTATCAACCAATGGAAATGAGCTTGCAGTAGTGGATAAGCCAACGACAGTCAATAATCGCCTACTAAAA